CTGCAAAACAAGAGGGACCTGTTCCACATTATCATTGATTTCAAGAAAGCATTTGATCCAATATGGCACTTTTTCTGGAAAAGATGACGAAAGACAGTGAGAATGTCCAGTCTTTCGTCATCTTTTCCTCTTCCCTTTTAACTTATCTTTTTCTCTTTCAATTTTAACTGACATGTTTAGGTTATTTATATATTCTTTTGAATAGATGAAATCTGAAAGAATTACTTAAAAAAACCGGGGGGAGGGAGCCAATACTTTTATAGAGTCTTTCTGTAGTGGCAAGTGTACTCGCTATTTTTCCAAGTACGCTCTTCGTTTCAGGTTTCTTTGTCCCTTGCGAATACAACGCAGTTTTATTTCGATCGTTGGCCATTTTCCATCGGTTCTCTCACACACGTTGTGATGATAGTATTAATAGAAACCTCTCTAAAATTATCCATAGCAACTTTTTGTAAATAATTCTAAATAAACGAGTTTAGCACTTATAGTTTGCTGGCGGAAAGATGATGAAATTTCGAATCTAAATTGTCTCTTTTAAAATCCTACACTTATTAAAAATTCTCTTCAGTTTCAGTGAAAGGGTCGTATATTTCGGTTTATACTCTTTTCCTGTTATTCAAGGGTTGTTGTCAGACAAGGAATTTAGCCCTTGTGACACAGATGTCCATTTGAATTCCATTCAAGTTGTATGTACGCTTGTATGTGAGCATACAGTTTTAATTCAGTAACTGTTGTAAATGTGTTCATATCAGAAAGTCACCAGTGTAGATAGGTGGCATGATGATTATTTTATCGGAAACCTTTGAAATAAAATGAACTGACTCAAGGTTTTAAAATAAATAATATATTTTTATTTATTTTCTTTAGAGTGATGAGTGAATCATTTGATATTCGGCAAAGAAGTAGGACATATACTGGTAGAAGTATGGAAAAATGTTTGTTTCGGTGTTTTGAAGTAAGACCATGGTAGGGATAGTAATAATCTTAGAAATTAGGTCGATGCCAATCTGCTGTGTTTTTCTCGGCCGTTAGCAGGGCGTAAATGCTAGTAACAGATAGCCTTTTAACTGCTTCTTCACGCGTCACGGATGATTGTTTTCTACGCAGTAGCGTTCTTTTGTTCCGTCCTTTTCTACTGTGCGACCGCCTTTTAGCCCAGAGGTGTCAGGTTTGCATCCCTTTGATCAGGCTCGAGAATTTGGCGCGCACATGGTTTCAGCTAATACAAAAGTCTCTTTTTGTCATTTTTTATTGGCCAAATTATCTTATTTTCCGGTGTTCCTTTCTTATTTATTTTTTTTTATATCGGAAGTTATGCGTGGAGCCTCCCCAATTTTTTGGTATATTTCAGTCACAAATATACAGGCTCTGCTCCTGTAAAATTTCCGATGTTTTTGGCCGGGTTCAGTCTTTTCTTCTTGCTCATTTTATTCGAGGATTGCCTTCTTATAGGTTGAGAGAATTATAGAAAGAAAACTTGAGAGAGAGAGAGAAGAGAGAGAGAAAGAGAGAGACACAGAGACAATGCTGTTAGAGGGTTTTAAAAAATGCCTTATTTTTATTTTGAATTATTTTAATATATAAAAATATATATATATATATATAAATATATATATATATATATATATATATATATATATATATTGTTTATATATTTTATTTTTATCGAGACTCTCTACAGACAAAAATATTTCTACAAAATTAAAGAAAGTATTAAAAAATAATTGTATTTATCAACAAATAATTTCTGAAAACTTCTAAAGTTTTATAATTCTCTTATTTTTATTTTGGGAATCTTAAGTTAGTTTTTTTCTTGTATCGAAATTAAGGATTTTATCAGCCAAGAGTAGGGATTTTCCAAACTGAGTGGAAAGGAAATGTATTTTATTCCAGTGTTCTATTTCAAATTCAAATTTTTGTGTTTGTATACGTTAAATGATATTAGCATATATAAGTCACTTAAGCACAATATAGAGATATGCATAAACATGACATGCGTACATGCAAAATCACATGGAAGCGACTTGTGACGTGTAGAAAATCAGCTCTTATAATATAGAGTGTATTTTCTTTACATCTAAGGGAGTTAATTCTTAATCTTTTCTAAGGGAATTATCTCTTAATCTTTCTAAGGGAGTAAACTCTTAATCATATGTGCCGTTATAAGAAATAATAAAGACTTTATCGACAACAGAATTTTAAATTTAAATGTCCAATGTTGTCATTTGTTTATTTTTATTTTCTTATTCTTATTTCTTCGATTTTATTCTTAAGGTGTCACTATAAAGAAATGCAGGAAAAGTAGATGTTTGTTGTTTCCATTCGAATTTTATAATAAAAACAGTCGGAATTAAAAGGGAAATGCAGACAATATCAATTCAGTAATGAACTTATTAAATTTTGACCAGTAATTCTTTCGTCCTCCCTTATCTGAATATTTTCTGACCGAAATAAAATTAGACGGTCAGTCTAGTTCCAAAAATAATAAATAAACTCTCTTGTATACATGACGGGTTACTTTTATTTTTATTTTATTTTTAATAGACACTTTTTAAGTAACCCTTATTTCCATTTCAAACATTTTTTTGAATTTCATTGGTTGTTAAATATAAAATAAGCTTCGAGAAATTTCCATAACAAAACAATCAAATTTCATGCAAAAAAAAGCTCAACTGACTTAAAAAAATCTTTCTCAAATTCATGCCTATGTTTCAAGAAATCCCACCGGATAAAAAATAAAAAATACAATTTCGTCCGCGCATTTTTGAGAATTATTGGCAACATCTGGTGAACCTTGGTTGAGCCGATTTAGTCGTTAAGAAAATTATAAACAGAAACGACGAATGAGTTTTCAGCGCATTTGAGATTCTCACACACAAGAGATATGCACAGAGATTTACTCGCGTGCAGAAATTTATAAACACGCAAAGAGATACAACTTAGAGAGACACTAAGAAAACTTAATTTTTATATTGCATTTTAAAAAACAAACTTTCTTTATGAGAGATTGGGAGATTTTTGCACTACAAACTTTTTTCCATTCAATATCTTTTCATAGAAAAACCTTTTTGTCTAATTTGAATTTAACCTTTATAGTAAAAAGGCAGAGAAAATTTTACTTAATAAATTTTTTGACATTGAACATTTTTGAAGCAGCAAAGAACTTTCTCTCTTAAATATACTATCGCACACATCATTACAGAACAAAAGATTGTAAAATTGTGTATATAAAATTTAATTTGTTGTTCGAAACATACCTCCTTTGTCGTAATTGAATATCGTTACCATTTGGTATCATTTTTTATAATTCATGTTTGTGGATATTGCATGTTTTATTTGCAGCACAACTTTAAATATTCACGCAGCCTTCCTAGATCCACAACACTTTGATTCAGGAGTGTTCTATGGTGTAATCTTTTTTGGCACTGTTATAGACAAGCGTATGGTTGCAAGAAAGAAATACGACAACAGCAGAAATAGATTTACGTGATTTATTTCAACAGGAACGTGTGGGTTTGGAACAGCTACCTTGTGGTATAGTTCATAAGCCGGCTTCCGATATGGGTTGATCTCTCATAGTAGTTCTCACTGGTTGGGTAGCGCTTCTCCTACTGACTGCTGCCGACCGCTTAGCCTGACCGTGACAGGTCTCTTCCCTGGCCTCCTGTTGACTGCCTGTTGTACTTCCGTGTAACCCATTTTTATGGCCTTTTTTTTTATGGCTTAACAGGCTCGAAAAACGACGCGAGTATAATTAGGAGGGAAGCATTTTTATTGGTCGAAAAATAGAAACACTTTAAATATTATTTTCTTTTTCGACCGGAACTCGTACGTCGGGAACACGCGTAAACGAAGATAATGGTCATTTTGTGATGGGGTTTTGTCCCGTTCACATCCGGCTCTCACTCTTGAGTATGTTAGTTTATTTGTCTGTAGATCAGCCGAGATATGTCTTATTTTATTTTATAACAGCATGTTTGTTTGCCATCGGGTAGAGAAAATAAAGTTTGGGTGTGTTTTAATATGTAATTATCGTGTTGGAAATAGGGTTTATTTCCTGTAGACTAATGACTGAAGACACGCAAAGCGAACTCTCCGAGCAGGGTTCAAATTCAAACAGAAAATAAAGTGTATTTAAAAGTTCACAGCCTCAGCTAATTGCCAACGTATGACCAAACAAAATTGTTTTTGAATACCTTCTTGTTCGGACCGAGAACTTTTCAGCAATCCTTGTAATTAAGACTTGTACATAACTTATTATTATTATTATACTATTTTTCTTTTTCTTTTTAGCCTGCCGGTCAGGTAAGTATTCTAAAAATACTTTTTTATTGATTTTTAAGTGCAGTTAGGTCGAATCCATTTGCTATTGAATTGGTTAGCTCTAACCGTAAGTTCTATGCTAACAGTTTCTTCTACCGCACTTCTCGCTTGTGGAATTCTCTTTACAGTCAAGTTTGATCTTTATAAATTTAAATGCAACGTCAATCGTCATCATCTGTCTCCCTAATTCCTGTTCTGTTGTTGGCCTCACTCCTTCTCAAATTCTTTCGCACTCAGTAACCCCTTCCGTCTTAGTGGCTTTATTACCTTGCTTGAGTTGAAATGATTAAAACAAAAGTAAATGAGATATTCTTTAAGCTCATCTTTCACAGCGAAGTTCAATGCCCATGAGAATACGAATTTAAACTGTGAATTATTTTCTGTTAATGTTTAACTATCAGTGTCTGAATAGTCCACAAGGATATCGGAAAATTTCCCGGTGGGCTCCAAATTGATGCTCCTTTACTTTAGAAATGACAGAAAAAAGTAAAAATTAAAAAAAAAACATGGCGTAGATGCTAGGAAAATTTAAATAAGGTTTCTTTGATGCTATAATTTCTGGGCGTTTCTGGAAATATTATGTGAATCAAATAAAGTCAACACTTGTTATTTTATCACATTTACCATTTACAATTCTACTTTTTCCTCTACAGAACACCGCAGGCATCAATGATACAATGACGATCAACCAACACACAGGTGAAATCACTTTAAAAAAACGGCTTGATTACGAGACACGGAATTTCTATCAGTATACAATTATGGCTAAAGTAAGTATTATTTGATTTATAGAAAATTCTTCAACTTAGCCTGTGAGTTCGATTCTCACTGGATGCCCAATAGTTTCGGCCTTGTGCCACATTTAAACTATACTTAGAAAGTCATTTGGAGACTTCAACTCGGTGCAATGTTTTGCTAGATCAGTTACGACTGAATAGTGAGTTCGATCCTCACTGAGTGCTTCATTGCTTCCACCTTGCGCCACATATAATCTACATTTAGTAAATCATTATATCAGCTTAGCCTGTTCATATATGGCTAAGAGAGTGCATCGATAAGTCTTAAGCCTAAGACAGTTATTAGTTGAATTTTTATCTGATATGTTCTCTCTTTGAACTATGTGAATAATGGAAAATGTTAAGTGCTTGACAAAGAGGAGATTATGTTGAAAAATATGTTGTGTTAAGTAAATGTTTTTTTTCAGGATAAAATGCACCTGTGTATCATAATACATTCATGCTAAATGTCGCAGACAAATCTGATGTTTAACTCTAATTGTCCAGTGCACATAGGCTGGTAATTAGCACGTAAGTGTAAAAATGGAGGTTAATTAACGTCCTCCCTATGAAGTTTGCGCTTTATTTTTTTTATTTTTTTTTTTTCGCATAATGCTGCTAATTATACCTTCTTTCTAGTGAAACTGTTTCTGTTTAGATTGTAAGTCAGTTAAAAAAAATTGGAAGTCGAACTTGTTGAAGTTGCTAAAATGTGTTTATAAGTTTTTTGACTAAGCACTTCAGATTCTTGAAGCTTTTGTTAAAATCTCCATAGGGAAAGTGAATTTATTTAACCAAAAATTGAAACACTCTGCTCAGACAAAAACCATTGCTCCGCGCATAACATTGTCATGTTTAAATAAACGCCATAATCTTCCAAAACCGGTGCGTAATGCTCTCCCGCCCAACACCTCCTACGCTACCGGAGTGGGGTGACCTGATTGGGGTCCCTGGGGCAGTGCTTCGTGACCTTTACCATATTAACATTTTCTTTTTTCAAATTACATTTATATGCATTACAAATTAAACGAAGCACAACTGATTATTAAATGATTAATCTTTTTTGCAGATTTTGATGTTATTCAGGGTTTTTTCCCCAAAAATCCGCGAATTTGGTTTTATCATGATAAGTCTTGAAAAAACCTTATTTAAAATTCACAATTTTTTTTATTCATAATGTTGAATGTATTGAAATTATTCAACTTTTTAACAAGAAAAATCTCAAGTTGCTGTTCAGAATTGCCACAAAACATTATTGATTTAAGACGAAATTATCCATTATGACATGTCTCTAATTTGTATTTAGATACTCTTGTAGCATACCTACGGACGATAATGGGTATGTCCCGATTAACATAAATACAGTAGTAAATACTGTATTTGGTCTGTAGTTAGAGATTCGTCTCCAGCTGTGCTAGTCAAACTCACTGCCTCCGGGAAGAGAGGATCCTCAGACGAGGCTATGTCGAAGGGCAGAGTCTCGTCTCGGGAAACAACTACCCCACCCCGTTTTATACGGGGTCTACGGGGAAATTTTGGCCGAGCCTACGGGCTTGGATACCACACATTAAATTCGGTCATGTGCGACATCTGACCGCGTGGGGCCGTTGGTAGATATCCTGCAGTTGAAGATTCGTCTCTAGCTGCGCAGGTCAAACTCTCTGCCTACGGGCAGAGAGGATCCTCAAACAAGGCTATGTCGAAGGGCAGTCTCGTATCGGGAAACAATTCGGCTTTGTACCATATCTGACCGACTTGGGCTGTTGGTAGATATTCTGCAGTTGGAGATTCATTGTGGAATTCACGTGACTCACTTTCAGCATTTGACTACTTCTTCTATGCGCCGCTGGCGAATCTTATATGTGTTGTTTTTGTCCTAAGTATTATCATTCATTACTAACCTTCTTTTGATTATTCAGTAACCTTCCCTAGGTTATAACAGATACAGTGTATTTACACTATTTACATTGTTAAGACGTCCTCATCTTTATTGTCATATCCACGATATTTCGGTCGCTGTACACCCCGGCCTTCTTCAGGTGATATACGTTGGAATTTCGAACCGAACTATTAATTCCGTCCACTGGAGTAGATTGTTCTAATTCTACATGCCATGCTTTTTCTGGAAATCTTTAGTAACTCTCCAAGTCATTGTTCACCTCTGCTGTGGCCAACTCTTTAGGTCAAGTCACCGGATTACTTCAATCAACGCTTTTATCCATTAGGCCATGTGTCTAAATTCCAACGTATATCACCTCAAGAAAACCGGAATGTACAACGGCCGAAACGTTGGGAATATGATAATAAAGAAGAGGACAATAACACGAACAATGCAAATAGTGTAAATAGTTACAATACTTCATCTCAGAAATAAAGACAGATCCTGGAGAAGGCCGGAGCGTACAACGGTTGAAACGTCGTGAATATGGCAATAAAGATGAGGGAAACAGTTCGAACGATGTAAATAGTGTCAATAGTTACAATACAGATGTTACATTGTATATATTTTCAGTTTTTTCTAGGTGAATTGTTCCCCTATATTGCATATGATAAAATTTGTATTTTTAATGAATTCTACCTTATGAAATTGAGATGCAGTAGAGTTGGGGGCCGTATCGAAGATTCGGGAGGCATATTACAGCCCCGACCCTGATAATGCTGACAATAAAGCGAATTCTTTTATTTATGGGGTTCCTAACAACTATTCAGGACATATCTTCCTAGCGTCAGTTTAAACTGACGACTTCTTATTTTCTCTTCATATATTGTAGCTATTTTCATTAAAAAGTTCGTATTTTCTTGATTTCGAAAGAAAACATGGAAATTTCACATGTATTTCATTGAAATTTTCCCTTCCCAAAATAATAGTTTACATGTTAGATCACAAAAATGAAGGCGCCAGTAAGATATGTGTTAATTTCTCGGGAGTAGGTTCACTAGCGAATTCAAAAAAGGGTTGCAAAAAATCTGAGGCGTCGATACACCTCCCACAACCAGGTTGAGCGACCGGCTAAGACCACCCGTGGAGGGACAGCCAGCGAATGTGCTACATGCGTTCCTCTCGCTGCTTCTTAGAATCCAAGCTGCCACCATTCTTTCCTAATAAAACGAATGAGAAAAAGAAATGGTCCTTTTTGTTCATACCATTTTATGTGGGGACCGAGAGAATACACTGAAAGCAGCACTTCATGGACCGACCGATTCGATCCTTACCGGATATACCACTATAATGGCCTTGTGCCTGACTATGTTGCTTCGCCGTAGAGTAGGGATTAGTAATCTCGTCTTGTAGACCATTACTAGGGCATTGAGTTCGATCCTCATTGAGTACTCAATATTTATGGCCTTATGTCAGGTGAAGTCAAACATAGCAAGGGCTTAAAAAACGCATAGTTTTGGGATGTATTTATATTATTTCTATTCGGATTATTGTCCTCACCATTAATCCATATTTAATTTTGCCAAAACGTTTTTGGACAAAGAAACTTAATTTTTGAGAACAGCCACTATGGAGTGATAAATAAAAATTGAGCTTTTTGGACATAATGATGTACAGAAGATTTGGCGCAAGGAAGGTGGAGCTTTCCTCCCAAAGAACACAATGGCAACATTAAAACATGGAAGCGGCTCGATGATGTTTTGAGGTTGTTTTAGCGCAAGGAGGGGAGGGGACAATTATTTGCAATAAGAGGAATAATGAAATCTGCCGACTATATCAAATTTCTGGATGAAAATCGACAACTATCCTCGCAAAATCTTCATTTAGCTCGGCGATTTACTTTCCAGCAAGATAATGATCAAAACATACGTCTAAATCAATGACTGCGTGGCTTCAGAAAAAGAAGATAATAGTTCTGCCATGGCCTTCAATGAGTTCTGACTTGAATCGTATTGAAAATATATGGCAAGAATTGAAAGTTCGAATGAATCGTCGGTACTAAAAAAAGTTCAGGATTTAGAACGTTTAACCATTGAAGAATGGAAGAAAATCCCAGAAAAGATTTGATCAAATCTCATCAAAAACTTTAGAAAACGATTGCAGCAAGTTATAAAGATTAGACGATATGCTTTTGACTATTAATATTGTGAAAATTCTTCAAATTTTTCTATTTTTTATACTGTACGAATAATTTTGTCATTTCCTATTTTCGCCTGCAAATTTTTTTGTATTTAACCTGTTACTCTGAAAATTGAGGTTTATATTCCTTTTTGTGCTTATTAACGTTTTTGTGATGTCAACGAACACTTGTTGTCACTTTCGTAATGCTCGTTGCAGTAGATACTTTGTAATCACAGATATAATTATAGTAACGCCGTTGAACAATGCCTTCGAATAACATTCCCACTAATAGTACTTGCTCGATAATACTCACTCGGAAAGTAACCACCGAATAGTATAGAGACATAGTACAGTGAATAGTATAAAAAATTGCGGTCCGTATAATAATAGAGGATAGAGTAGGAACGCGACTTTCCCAATATACGTTTCCTTTGTTCATTTAATCAAAAATATACAAAATTGATGGGGGTATGAATAATTTCGTCGTTGACTATACTATCAGTCTTCTTATATGGCAGCGAATGCTGAACAATCTCATCACAAATGAAGACGAGACTTGAAGTAACAGAAATGTGATTCTACAGAAGGATACTGAGAATATCATGGCCCGTGCATTATTTGTATTCCGAATATTGTCCTCACATTTAATTCATATTTATGGCCCTGTGACTATTTTGAATTCGAAATCATGGAAAAGCCAATAAGAAAGAATTCCACCATCTTTTCGAAGAATGAATGCTAATACATAAATAACAGAGATAATCTTTGGAGCATGATCTTCTACACCCTGAAGGGATAGGGTTTTAGAAAAAAGAAGAGATTGTAGAAAATATTTCTTGTATAATTAAAAACGGTAAAGCATGTTCTTTTTTTCTTTAAAAATACAAAAGATAACATCTATATGCCTACCATAAAATATGGGCAAATATTTGTCTAAGTTTCTTAAATTCTGAATAATTTTCCCTATTTTTTACTGTCAGGATTCAGGTACGCCACCTTTAAATTCAACGGAAAGTGTATGGATACAAATCACTGATGTCCAGGACACTCCGCCCGTTTTTATCAATCCTTCATTCATTAAACACATCGGGGAAGACGCAACAATCGTAAGTAATGCATACAAGCTTTTTACTCTTCTTTCACAGGCCAATTACTGTCCTGGGTATGACGATAAACTACGCCCGACAGCGAGGCCTCTGATTGGGAGGTTTTGAGGAGCGTGGAACCACCGCTTAATTGCTGTTGTTACCAGATCCACCATGCCCCTGGGTGGTAGCACCTGTTAGGGTTTCAGCTATGGATAAATAGTTAACTCCTAAACTGGAGTCAAAACACTATGACAGTATAGAAAATATATTAAAATACCAGCAATACATTTTGATGATAAAAAAATTACCAACAATGAAATACATTTTTCCTAAAAAAGAAAAAAATTAGGAATACATTTTTGTAAAAGAAATTACTAATGCTTTCAAGAAAATTAAATTTCGGCATTAAATGACCCATAAGGATGTTGATATGCTGCTAAACAAACAAACAGGCAAATTAGACATTCAAATTTTAAATTTGACGATTGGGGGCACATGGGACACTTAAAACTGGTGTGGTCACATGCGATGCTTACTGAATCGATTGGTCCTGCTTAGCTAAAATGATATGACGATCATTATCTTGACACCCCCCAACCCACGGCAGATTGTGAACATGTGACATTTCTTTTTAGGAATTTTAATTATTGTGCTTTTCTCAGGCCAATACATTCCCGCTAATGGCCAATCTGCTGGGGTGTTTTTTTTTCTTTTTTTTTTTTTTTTAATCGACACACCATCTTTAGTTGGGTTACCAACCAAAGCTAGAGGTCTTTTATCTGCCCGATAGGTAAGGACGTCGTGATAGCACAACCAGCGACGACTTCCGAATAGTTTATAATCTATTCGGTTTTCCTCTCTGGGTCAACCCGTAGGGCATGGTTTTCAGGTAATTTTCAACGGTGCTGCATTTATTCGTGATCATATGTAATTGGGGTTTTCGAGGAGCTTAAAAGTATTTTCAATGTATTTCTCCTCATCACATAAATATTGGGGTTTACAAATTCTGAGTGTTCTTAAATAGAATCCAATGATTATTCTGGATTTTATTTTGTTGCAATGGTGAGAGTAGAAATTTACGAAATCATTTTTATTAGTCATTAATATATTGGAAATATGTTGATGCTTTTAGGTAAAACACTTTCAAATATAATTACTAGGTTGATTAGAGAAATGTGGTTGCCAGTAGTCGGTTTCTACACCAAAATTATTCCTTTTAGACTTGTCAACTAAAAGAACGAAATTAAGAATGACAGTTGATAAATAAATGCAGTCTAAATGCATGCTTAGCGAAGATAAAATTCGGCGATGCAGTCGGTATAAAAGCAAGGTTTTCTTTCAACTTCTGACTCTTCACATCATAAATCAGACTAACTCAACTGCTTCGTTTACTATCGGTTTATTCTCGCCTCCCAATGAATATATTGTTTAGAACTGAATGGACGCGTGTATTTAAATGAAAGTATGATTTCGACTCGTTATCAATACCTTTTGGCTATCTTATATTTATTATATTCACTCCTCACATAACGACCTCGTTCCGTTCCAAGAAGTTAGTCGCTAAGTGAGTTGTACTTGTAGATAACAGCTGGGCCTGTCATAAAAATGAATTCAGACATTTATTTACTCTCAATGGTTATCAATAAGTGGACTTCACAAATGCAGAGCAAGCGGCCCGGACAAAGAGAAGTTATTGATTGAAGATAAATTAATTTGTAGACAAAGATGACAAGACAAAGAACAATGTTTTCTATAGAACAGGGACTGCTGTCCGTGAAAAGCCAGAGAGGCTGAGAGTGCCCACAGAGAGGACAACAGACGTCATTTAGACTGTTCACCTACCTCATCTCGGCTTAGTTCATTTATAGCAGTGGCTACATCCCGATAATAAAATTTGGTTTACTGCGAGAACTTGTCATGGTTTTCATTCGTGGGTAACGATCTGACCGAAGGGTTATTTTTAAGCCGCAAGCGTTTGAGTGGAAGAAGCTGCACTCTGTCAACGAACCTGGTGTCTGGTCTGAGCTGCAAGGTTACATAGCGATGGCGACTTACTAAGCGTGTAATGGGTTTGTGTCAACCAACTTCAGATAGCGTTAATGTCACTTTTGCACCATTTAAAACATCTAATTCTAAATGTTTATACAGCACAGTAGTAGAACAATAAACATAATAACGAAATTTAAAAAACGACTCTATATTCCATACATTAGAATCGGTTTGCATATTGTAAATGCCGTAATTGTCGGAGTTAGCTCCTCCTTAATTTCCTAATTGTCAGTAGGGGACGCTCTCCCCTACACTATAAATACTAGGTGACTTCTTGCCTCGATCTCGTTTTCACTTTGCATTATCAGTAACCACATTTAAAAATGTGATCTCTCGTTGAGATCCGCGTTTTCGCCCATTTGTGGGAAAACGCCATGAAACACACATACACGTACGTACGAACATTCACCAAAATACAAACTCTTTACGTTCACACACAAACACAAATGTTGATGTCTTTTGTCACATGTAAATTTGTTGTTTAATACATATATTTGTTTATATATATATATATATATATATATATATATATATATATATATATATATATAATCTCGTCGGTCTTATTTGTTTTCTTTACATCTTCGGTTGGGCTCAACTTGAGTCCGCATTGTTCCAATACCGATTGATTTTATTTTGGAATGAGATTTTATAGCTGGTCGTAAGTACCGGATTCGTTAAACACATAAATTGTTAAACAGCAACAACTCCGTTATTCAAGAGGAACACGCTCAAAAATCGATAATGGAATTTCAGTCATTAAACTCGAAACTGAAACGCGATAAAATTCAACCGTAGAAATTTAAAAGAACAAATAATTTGAATTTTTGTTCTTGTCATTCTTCAAGCGAATTATCATGTTAGCGTTTCTGGACAAAGAATAAATTAATGCAGATCTAAAGCCAATCAGCCAGTTGACGTAGAAAAAAGTACCCCAACCTGGTTTATCAAGACGCCCGCTAGGTGGCGCTGTTTTATGACTATAAGAGAACGGACATAGCCCTTCCTCTCTCTACTTCTCTTTTGCGCCGTTATGTAGCAGCGTTATCACGAGTGTTTTTCCCCAATGTGGAATTCCCCACCTCTCGGGTGAGTACCTATTAGATTTCCTCAGAGCTAACCCTAAAATGTTTTTATTACTCTTTTCAGCTATATGTAAGCACACTGGTATATTTTCTATCTTTTGTAAATAGTGTTATTCGTTATATAAAATGCATAAAAATATTTCCAAGCGTTGAAATCTATTCTTGAAAATGTTGATGTCACTTTATTCAAAAATTCTCGACTTCGTTCCAAACGAGACGTGCATTTTTCTCTAAATGGACTTTCTCTCTACAGCACACATTAATTGAAGCCGTTACAATCGACCAACGGTGCTTTTTTTAAAAAAAATTGGTATCACCCCATGCAAAATAGTAAAGCAAGGGGTTACTAGGTGTAGAAAAATTAAGAACAGAAACATTAATAATGAGTAGAAAGAAAAAAGGGTAATCAGGACAGTAGATAGCGATTGACATTGCATTTAAATTTTTGAAAATTTAAGTTGGCTGAAAAGTATGGAGCTAGAAGGGAATTCCACAAGCGAGAAGTGTGAGAAATGAAATTGTTTTTATGTTTTAATTTTAACATTTTCTAAATACGACGGCGATGAAATTGAGTACAAAAAACAAACAAACTTTCTTTTGCAGGGTACGTCAGTCATGAGCGTAACTGCTGAAGACGGTGACCGGGGAATCCCTAATGGAATTTTATACACGATAGACGGTGAGGAAATTCTTTTTTTTTTTTTCTTTGATTTCTATTAAGATTAAAAGGTGAAAAACTGTCATTCATAATGTAAAAATTTGTTAACTTTTATTCAATGTATAAAAAACAATAGAAAGCGGTGTAAGACAAGGATGTGTCGTCTCACCAGACTTATTCAACGTAAATAGTGCGACAAATCTGAGAAAAGTAGAAGTCTTACACCTATTCATTATTGACAGTCGCAACCTTAACCTTATCACTCTCTATGTGATTTCATTTGATCCCTGGAGAAAAGTGTGTTTGGATTTCGTAGTTGGGTTGTCATATCCTGCTATGGCAACAGAAAAGTTTGAGTGAGATTAGCAATAAGGATACTGTAATTAAGAGCCCTTGAAAAAAGATGCAGTGGGATGTAATATTAATGATGTAGAGTGCTAAATGTTAACAGCATAATATATGCAGTTGACAAAGTGTTCCTAGGAGACACAGAAACGAAACTACAAACACTCTTACAGAATGTAGTGAAGGAAAGCGAGAAGAAAGGACTAAGCATCAATTGTAAAAAGACAGAATGCATATTTGTCAGCAAAAGGAAGAGCAAATTACAAATTTGAGATGTCAAAATCAAATAAGTACAACAACTTAAATAGCTGGGAAGTGTTTCGACGGAAAGTGCGACACTGAAACTCGAAGGCGCATTGGGATAGCGAAAGATGCCTTCTAAAGATTAAACAAAGTATTAAGAAACAGAAAAATTTCGTTAGATACAAAGAGTACTGGACTGTTACGTAATATCACTCTTCCTATATAGGAATGAATACTGGACAATCTCCTCACAGATGAAGAAACAACTTGAAGCAACAGAGACGTGGTTCTACAGAAGGATATTGAGAATACAATAGACCGAAGATGATAGCAGCGACGAAGTTTTAGAGAAAATGGAAACAAAAAGGACACTTATAATTAACATCAGAATGAAAGAGTTGAAATCTCTGGGGAACATAATGAGGAAAGATGGCTTTGAAAATTTGATATTCACATGACAGATCGAAGGCAAGACGGACAGAGGAAAGCAAAACATAATCTACATGAAGAACTTCTGCACATGGATGTCAGATCAGGGTTTTAGGAGAGATAATAAAAAGATAACATTTATTAAGAGCTACAAAGGACATAATATTGTGTAGACCTATGGTCGCCAAAGTCCTGACAAGACACGGAACATAGAAGAAATTACGTCATTTTCGACTAGGTTTTTTTTTTTTTTTAGCTGATTCACCTGAATTTCCAATGATTGATGTTACTTTGACAATTACTATTTTTAATTCAAATGTCATTGCGTTCTCAAATTCCAGAGAAATTTCAGTTGTTGAGGGAGTGGTATGAGCACGTATATATCCTCACGCCCACTCAAATAGAATATGACACAAGCCCAGGTTTGAAGTGGGAGTCCCACAAGTACATGAAACTAGAAACAGTTCCGTCCCATTCAGCGCTTCTCTTTAGGGATTAACCAGTAACGTAGCTCGGGGTGGGCTGGTTCCGACCAGGGAAACACACCTTGGTTTTTATCATATGTATTACAGTTATCTTCCTTGACAGAAGTTCGTTTGAGGGTATCTGTTGATCTATTTTCGTCATTTGGGCCTGTTTATATATATGGGAGCGGCATTTTTGGTCCTGTTGGATAAGCCTGTATAGGCTGTATTGAAATAAAAGTAGTCTTAATACCGGGACACTGATCACAGTTGAAGCATCTTTTCGATTTCGAGTAACTTAATCTATGACATATGGATTTAAACAGTTGGCTGAACATTAGACATTATATAGTGATATATTCAAGGTTGTTCTATCATTGTTGACTATGTGAAACCTGTGAACAGACCCAGGGTGCGTTCTTTTAATACGTATCACGGGTGTGTGTGGGGGGAAACACACCTTGGTTGTTATCATATGTATTACAGTTATCTTCCTTGACAGAAGTTCGTTTGAGGGTATCTGTTGATTTATTTTAGTTATTTGGGCCTGTTTATATATATATATATATATATATATATATATATATATATATATAAAGAGGAGTCCATGTGCAATATGTTGTATTTTTATGGGGCAGCGAGTAGGGGTGGCAAACTCAAGGGCTATACTGGGCAGCAATCACTCTGTTCCTCGCGGCACTACGCTAATGGGATTAAATCTATTGCAATTACACGCTGATTTCAAGAAATAAGGCCCACGCCTGATACTGATGTTACCCTTTTATTTAGAAAAGACCATCGTAAAAACGTGTGGCCTCATATGGAGCAGCAGTAACTAAAGAGGGGGGACACATGGTTGCTTCATTACTCCTAAACGGTTATGTGATAGAAAACTTGAACAAGATTACAGCTAAACATATGTAAGCATATATATGTATATAAGGGATAAATGTCTATTTTTTATTTTATGGAACAGTAAGAATCATTCTCATAATGCTAACAATATTACAACTGCTACGATATGACTACTAAATAGCAATCTATGCCTGGTGACGCATATACCGGCCTCTTCAGTTACGTTCGGTGACTGTTACTTCTACCATTACCTTCATAGGAGAGGTTGACAGAATCCTGGGCTGAGCATTTATACTTCATTTTAACCCCCAGTAGGTTTCTAGCTGGGCCAGGTAAGTTTTATTAGATATATATGAAAGAATAACCAGTGACGGTAAGGTAGTGAGGAGGTGAGAGTGTGGATAAAGCAGTAAGGCAAATTTTGATGGCACTTAAGACAGTTATGGGCAACATTAATAGAAAATATAATCAAGAAGAAATTCTTAAAAATCAAGAAGAATTTGTCTTGAAATATCAAAAGCTAAAAAGAAAAAAAAAGATACAATACTCGTAAGTTTATATGAAGTCTGTACGGTAAGTGTCAAGCCATTTTGAACATTTCGATAAACAGTTGCGGGGCCTTGATGTAACTCAGAGGGGACCTTACTATGCATGGGTGAATAGACATTCTAACTTGGGGTGACTCAGTCAATAGTGAGACGTAATTGAGAATTGAGTAAGTACTGCGGGATCATTCCATTCATGTTGACAACGCCCCATGCAAGTTTATCAAATCTTTTAGTCTCGACTTGCACGACATGGATTTCTTCCTTGAAATGTTTTTGCTGGGAAATTGAATGACAAAATATGAAAATAAAAGTATCTAGTGCGTTTCGTCCTTCAAAAGGACTTCATCAGGCTATGAGGAGGAACGAAAATATAAAAACAGGATGGAATCCATTGCTAAAGTGCAAGTAAAATGATCGGCCCCTGTACCGCTCCAGTAAGTACCTGACTCCTCATGCTATGCTCTATCTCTTATAAGAGACAGATCAGGCCGAAAATGGAGTACTGTTGTCATATTTGGACGGGAGCAGCCCAGTCCTCACTTTCCAGTCTTGGTACAGTTCAAAAGTGTTTCCGATTCCTAATGAGAGAAGAATTATTTCCACCCTCCAAACTCATTCACATAGACTGGATGTAGGGAGCCTTTTACTGCTCTGTTGCTACTACCATGAAAAAGTGCTCGGACGAACTACATTCCTTGGTTCCACCAGGTCTAACCTTCACGACTAGGACCCGCCATGCCACTTACATAGTAGCAAATCACCCACATTCCCCCCGTATTCCATCGGCGAGAAGTAAGTTCCACTCGAACAGCTTCTTCCCGCGAACCACTGCCCCGTGAACAGACCTGCAAGAGGATGTTTCTCCGATTGCTACAATCTTAACCTGTTTAAATTTAGTTAACCGTTATCTTCCCCTCCTGTCCATATAAACTACCCCTTAATGTAACCCTTTACCTCGAGTGGGCCCCGGGCCTAGTACGGGGTGAACTTTAATGTAAAAAAAAAAAAAAAGAAGTTATAATTAAATATCGAGAGAAACGCTGAAGATGGAAAGACGTTCAACTTCAAATTTTCAAGTTTTGCATCCAATATGTCTGGATACACAGCCAAGCCAAACTTATTAATCTTCTTATCGTTTTTGTTTATATTCTTATCTTCTGTGTACTGCGTTCCAACAGAATGTCGTCGATCCACAACTACCTATCATTTAATTATAACTCTTAGTAATTTCTTCTTTTTACCATACATCACTCTACGTTTTGGTATCTATTCACACGAACTAGTCAGGTAGGTGGCCTCCACCTCTCCCTTTCCCTTTACTCTTTTTGTTATTAGTCGACTCCTGAGATAAGTTAAATTTTAAAAAGGTTAAATAAACTTGAGGTAGCAAGGATCAGGAATTAGTTTTTCATTAAACTGTCTTTTTGTTATTTTTTTTTTTTTTTTAGAGATGTTAAATTTTAAGCAAAAACGCGACACAGCAAAACTGGAATATATTTTTTAAATTAATGAATTGTTCTTTAACATCATCATATGCATTCTCTTATAGATGCCCGTTGTAAACGATTCAGGATCGATCAAACCACTGGTGTAATCTACGTGAAGCAGGACCTGAATCTTACAGAAACTTCGTTAAAACACTTATACGGTGTTTGTCCAATCACTGTGATAGTAAGTATATTTTTTCATACACTTTTTATTATGCTTGTCAGTAAAGAAATGTAGAAAATGAAAGTTAGTGCGAAATTAAGGCAAGAGTAATTGAAAAATTTAAGGACAAAACACAATACCATATTTTTTTAAAATGTTTTTGTGGAATTACGCGACATTGTAATGGGAGTTCTATTGATGCCTAGCATTGTACGAAGCACCATAAAAAGAAGGGACACAAAGATTTTTCTCTATTCTTTTGCTCGTCGACCACAGAATGCTGTAGTGACAAGAACTGTCTCGTTTCCCTCCTCGGAAAGACTTCTTAGTGTCAGGTGGACCACGGGTCGCATACAACACACTACATTATCAACTTTCAAAAAAACCTCATGGGATCACAACTCATCACATAAATATGTTTGTTAATAAATATGTACAAGTATATATCGATAGGCTTGAATATATATATATATAGAGAGAGAGATATAGATATATATAGATAGATAGCAATAAGTAAAGATAGTCCATAAAAATCCATTTCGGTTATAATTTATTTCATGAATTTATTTAAATATTCGACTTTTCAAATCGAGAGCTTTTTAGAAATTAAATCAATCTGTCCAGACAAAAGGAAGAGGGTGAGGAAAAAGAAAAGAGAAAAAAATTATAATAAAAGAGTAAGAAAGAAAAAGAAAAAAAATTCAATATAAAATTAAGAAAAATAAAAAAAAATACGAAAGAGAGAGAGAGAGAGAGGGAGGAAAAGAAAAGAAAGAAGGAAGAATATATATATTCAGTTGTATGGATATTAGTTTGTCGCCTGGGGTTTCACGCTTTGGAATCTATTTATGTTTATTTGTACCTGATTCCCCACCCTTCACCACACACAAATAATCAAGCACAAAAAAGCATTAATAGATCCATTTAAAAAAAAAAAAAAAAAATAAACCAGTTTGTTTGATGAACGCAAAAGCGTGAAACGCAGGGTTGAAAACTAGGTATTTACTCTGTCTCCGCACTAAGAGGAGTTCTGACACAAGGTCTTTTTTTTAAGGCGGAGTCAGGAGCGCGTTCACCCGGACAAGAAACAAAAATTGCCCGGGTATATATATAATTGAATTTAGTTTCACAAATGTATAAATCAAGGGTAGGTTGCCTGTATCTTTTAAGTGGAGGAGAGCATGCGTAACATAAAAAAAATTCCCATCATATATTTGCCTCTAAAATCTATAATCTACCTATCTACTTAAGTCTAGTGACATCGATATATTTCATTCTAGTCCATAACTATCTCCATTTCTCTTTTTCAGCCCATTTCAAGCATATCACTAGGTTAATTTCTGTTAATCTATCTTAGCTCGTACTCTGTCTATATATTTCACCCAGTTCATACTCGGCTGGTGTATCTCCTTCAGCTCTACTCTATCCTCTGTCCTTTGCTCTCTCACTGTCTCAGGTTCATACTCGGCTGGTGTCTATCGAGGTATCTCCACTCTCAGCTGATGTCTCTCCCGCAGTTTATACTCCTCACTCTATCGATGTATCTCGTTCAGCACGTACTCTGTAGATGTCTCTCACCCAGTTCATACTCGGCTGGTGTATCACACTCAACTCCTACTCTATCGATGTATCTCCTTTAGCTCGTACTCGGCTGATGTCTCTCACCCATGTCATACTCGGCTGGTGTATCACACTCAGCTCCTACTCTATCGATGTATCTCCTTCAGCTCGTACTCGGCTGATGTCTCTCACCTAGTTCATACTCGGCTGGTGCATCTCAGTTCGTACTAAGGTATCAGCTCCTACTCATCATTAGCTCGTATCACATTTAGCTCGTATCTCCTTTAGCTCGTACTCGGCTGATATCTCTCACCCAGTTCATACTCGGCTGGTGTATCATACTCAACTCCTACTCTATCGATGTATCTCCTTCAGCTCGTGCTCTGTAGATGTCTCTCACCCAGTTCATACTCGATGCTGCAGTGTACTCTAATCTCCTTTAGCTCACTCGGCTGATGTCTCTCACCCAGTTCATACTCGGCTGGTGTATAACACTCAGCTCCTACTCTATTGATGTATCACATTTAGTTCGTGCTCTGTAGATGTCTCTCACCCAGTTCATACTCGGCTGGTGTATCACACTCTGTCGCTGTATCTCAGCTCCTGATGTCCTACTCTATCGATGTATCTCCTTTAGCTCGTACTCGGCTGATGTCTCTCACGCAGTTCATACTCGGCTGGTGTATCACACTCAGCTCCTACTCTATCGATGTATCTCCTTTAGCTCGTACTCGGCTGATGTCTCTCACCCAACTCCCTATGTCATACTCGTACTGGGCTGATGTCTGGTGTATAATCACGTATCTCGGTCACTCGGCTGATGTCTCCTACTCTATCGATGTATCTCCTTTAGCTCGTACTCGGCTGATCTCTCTCTCACCTAGTTCATACTCGGCTGGTGTATAACACTCTATCGCTGTATCTCCTTTAGCTCGTACTCGGCTGATGTCTCTCACAGTTCTATCGATGGTGTATCTCTGTATCTCCTTTAGCTCGTACTCGGCTGATGTCTCTCACTCCCATGTCACTACTCCTACTGGTGTATCTCCAGCTCGTACTCGGCTGATGTCTTCCTACTCTGGTGTATCATCGACTCTATCGCTGTATCTCCTTTCAGCTCTCGTATGTCTCTCGGTTCATGTCTCTATAACACTCAGTATCATATCTCGGCTCGTACTCGGTGTATCACAGTTCAACTCCTACTCTATCGCTGTATCTCCCTTTATGTCTCTCGTACTCGGCTGATGTCTCTCACTCCACTCTTCATACTCGACTAGTACTCGGTGATGTCTCTTAGTTCATACTCGGTGGTGTATCACACTCACTGATGTCTCACGCACTCCGGCTGGTGTATAACACTCAGCTCCTACTCTATCGCTGTATCTCCTTTGATGTCTCTCGTACTCGGCTGATGTCTCTCACCCAGTTCATACTCGGCTAGTGTATCACACTCAACTCCTACTCTATCGCTGTATCTCCTTTAGCTCGTACTAGGCTGATGCTCTCTCATCGTATCTCCAGTTCATGATGTCTCTCGGCTGGTGTATCACACTCAACTCCTACTCTATCGCTGTATCTCCTTTAGCTCGGCTGATCGGCTGGTGTGTATACTCGGCTATGATGTCTCTCACCCTGATGTTCATACAGTTCATACTGGTGTATAACACTCAGCTCCTACTCTATCGAGGTATCTCCTTTTTCGGTCGTACTCGGCTGATGTCTCTCATCGCAGTTCATACTCGATGTCTCTCACCCAGTTCATACTCGGCTGGTGTATCACACTCAGCTCCTACTCTATCGCTGTATCTCCTTTAGCTCGTACTCGGCTGATGTCTCTCACCCAGTTCATACTCGGCTGGTGTATAACACTCAGCTCCTACTCTATCGAGGTATCTCCTTTAGCTCGTACTCGGCTGATGTCTCTCACGCAGTTTATACTCGGCTGGTGTATCTACTGTATCTCCAGCTCGTACTCGGCTGATGTCTCTCACGCAGTTTATACTCGGCTGGTGTATCACACTCAACTCCTACTCTATCGCTGTATCTCCTTTAGCTCGTACTCGGCTGATGTCTCTCACCCAGTTCATACTCGGCTGGTGTATCACACTCAACTCCTACTCTATCTTTAGCTCTGTATCTCCAGTTTTAGCTCGTGTCACACTCAACTCCTACTCTCGGTATCTGATGTACTCTCTCACCCAGTTCATACTCGGCTGGTGTATAACACTCAGCTCCTACTCTATCGACGTATCTCCTTTCGGTCGTACTCGGCTGATGTCTCTCACGCAGTTCATACTCGGCTGGTGTATAACACTCAGCTCCTACTCTATCGCTGTATCTCCTTTAGCTCGTACTCGGCTGATGTCTCTCAACACTCCCAGTTCATGTCTCTCACCCAGTTTATACTCGGCTGGTGTCTCAGCTACCTATCGCTGTATCTCCTTTAGCTCGTACTCGGCATCAGCTCCTACTCTATCGCTGTATCTCCTTTAGCTCGTACTCGGCTGATGTCTCTCACCAGTTCATACTCGGCTGGTGTAACATCAGCTCCTACTCTATCGAGGTATCTCCTTTAGCTCGTACTCTAGTGTCTCTATCGCTGGTGTATCACACTCAACTCCTACTCTATCGCTGTATCTCCTTTAGCTCGTACTCGGCTGATGTCTCTCACCCAGTTCATACTCGGCTGGTGTATCACACTCAACTCCTACTCTATCGCTGTATCTCCTTTAGCTCGTACTCGGCTGATGTCTCTATCGAGGTATCTCCTCGGCTGATGTCTCTCACCCAGTTAATACTCGGCTGGTGTATCACACTCAGCTCCTACTCTATCGCTGCATCTCCTTTAGCTCGTACTAGGCTGATGTCTCTCAGTTTATACTCGGCTGGTGTATCACACTCAGCTCCTACTCTATCGGTGTATCTCCTTCAGCTCGTACTCTGTAGATGTCTCTCATCTCCTCAGGTCATACTCTCACCCAGTTCTGGTGTATCACACTCTAGCTCCTATCTCTATGTCTCTCACCCAGATGTATCTCCTTTATCGCTTCTGTATCTCTTTAGCTCGTACTCGGCTGATGTCTCTCACCCAGTTCATACTCGACTGGTGTATCACACTCAGCTCCTACTCTATCGATGTATCTCCTTCAGCTCGTACTCTGTAGATGTATGCCCCTCAGATAGTCTCTGGTGGAGTCTATGTTTCTCTCAGTTCATATATATATAAAAAAAACAGACGACATGCGTTTAACGGATGTCAGAATTCGTTGAATAATACACCTCCTACCCTCCCTAAACTTGACCTCTTTTTCGAACGCAACTCATAAATGATACAACAATAGTTAATACAAATGAACACGCTACCACCCCTGTCTGAATGATTGGATTTCTCTGTATCCTTGGGAACAAGAAATTATGAATTTATATGTGCGTTTAAAACTCAATAAATTTAAAAATGAGTTATTCAAAAATTCGCTTGAAGATGAAACAGAACTAATGCTTTTAATTTAATTATATAATTAATTTTCAAAGTTTTAGCTTCGATATTTGAAACATGGTCAATACTATGTAGCGAAGAAACCATATTTTATATCAGTTAATTTATATGTATAAATATATATCTTTGCTTTAATAATTTTATCGCAAATAAATCGTCTTTGTTTTTTAGGCCAAAGAAGACGATTCTATATCATCTTTTACTAAACAAGACATCACCATTTTCATTGACGATATCAACAACCATGGCCCAGTATTCAGCAATCCATCGTATAGTGCCAATATCAGTGAAGCCACAGCAATTGACAATCCAGTTATAATTAATCAAAGCATCCAGATAAGCGACGATGACCTGGTATGTCTGTTTTCTTAGCTTTTTTCCCTTTTCCAATTTAAAAATCTAACTGAAATGGCGACCAGGTAAACGTTTCGCTAGAAATATATTGTATCTAAGCTAAGATTTATCTAATTTTTTTAATACCGAATATATATATATATATATATATATATATATATATATATATATATATATATATATATATATATCCAGGTATAACATAAGAACAAATGAAGTATAATTCCACTGACCGTAGTATTTATTTTTTAAAAAGACCTCAATACAAATTAGAGCTTAATATTATTTATTATAGAAGATTACAAAAACACGTCAAAAATCGCTACACAATAGCTTTCATGTTTCAGCATTAAGCTGTACCTCTTCAGGCGATGGTAAATATCTGGTGAGTAAATGATTATTTATAATTTTAAAATATACTTATATATACAGTAGCGGGTATAAAGATCGGAACGATGTTAAGAAAAACTCTAAATGTGAAATAATTTTTTATTTTAAACCTTCATAGAACATTTTATCAAGGAAAAATAAGGATATAAAGTAAATTATATAATTTCAAAATATAAAGCTCAATAAACTTATTTTGATAAAGTTATAAGAATAATTATATAACATTCGAAAAAACTAGATGATCAAAAACATCAGAACGATTAACAAAATCATACTATTATAATAGATACATCATATCCAAATGAAAATAGCGTTCATAATTCATTAGTACTTGATGTGTAAACCTTTATTTTCAATAACAGCTTGACATCTTTTGCTACATGAGCGAATTAATGTCTTGCATTCATTTTCTCCTTTCAAATAAGTTCATAGTTCTTCGACGTTTGTTGGATTCTTTTCCTTAGCTCTTTCATTTAGTAACTTCCAAACATTCTCAATAGGATTTATGTCTGGGTTTTGAACAAGCCACTCCATAACAGTAACATCCTCCTCAGAAAGAAATGTCTTAACAAACTTCGCCGTGTAATATGGCGCGTTATCTTGCATAAATACAGCTGGTTGATTAATTGCAATTATCAAATTAGGTACAACACGTTTCTTCAATATCTCTTTGTATACAGTTGCGTTAATTTTACCGTGTAGCCTAACAAGAGGTCCCGTAGCAGCAGGTGAAATCATGACAAACACCATCACACTTCCTCCTTCAAATTTAACGCTGCTTTTAGTGCACTGGGGCAAATATCGTTCGTTAGGCCTGCGTCGAACGAACCTTCTCCCGTCACAACCGAACAGGTTAAACTTTGACTCATCGCTGAAATGGACACAATCCCACTGTTCGTCTGTCCATATGACATGTTCAGTGGCAAATTTCAATTGACTCATTTGATTCTTTCTAGAAATTCTCGTACAGGCTACTCGACTGTTCAGATTTATTTAATTAAGTCTTCGGGGAATAGTATGCCTTGATATTTTAATGCCAATGTTAGCAAAAGCTCTTTTATAGATAGCGTTTGCTAACGCAAATCGATCCTTTTTTGATTCATTACCAATCCATCTGTCTTCCCTTGCAGTAGTTTTCCTAGGCCTGCCAGGTGGTTTCTTGGCTTCACATGATCCACCTTCCTCAAGTTTTCTTAAAATACTATGAATAACACTTTTAGATTTCCCCACACTCCCAATCGAGAGTTTATCTTCATTACGTAACTTGACTATCAGTTTTCTAAGTTCCAATAACGTTACAGATTTTTTCGCCATGTCTACAATGCAACAGCCAGTAAAGAGCCGGTGTAATTTAGTAAAATACCCGATTTTATATTTTTACCCTAAAGAATTTTTAATAATGCAAAATGATTATTAAATTTTATGGATTTATTTAATCGTTCTGATGTTTTTGATCATCTATTTTCTTCGAATGTTACATAATTATTCTTATAACTTTATAAAAATAAGTTTATTGAGCTTTATATTTTGGGATTATATAATTTACCTTTATGTTCTTATTTTTCCTTGATATAATGTTCTTTGAGGCCTTTAAAATAAAACATTATTTAGACTTTTCTTAACATCGTTCTGATCTTTAGGCTCGCTACTATATATATATATATATATATATATATATATATATATATATATATATATATATGTTTAACATATATAGTTTTAAGGTGTGCTATATTATGGGATAAAGTGCTCAATATCAGAGATAAAGCGTATGTAAATATAAATATAAAAATGAACATTGAACTCAACACTCAGAGGCGACAGGCTGTTTCATACTAGACGCAATTGCCAGGCCACGAGTTTTCGATTTTTTTTCGACTATTTATATAATGGGTCAGTGGTGCATTGTGGGTAATCCATTCTGGCGGCTATTTTGGCGGGAGTGGCTTGTTTGTTTATTTATTTGGGTTAACTTATTTCACTTGTCTTTATTTATTTTAATTTTTTATTTTATATATTTATTTATTCTTTTCGGTTTTCGATATTTTATTAACATAGTAAAAAAATTGGGGGAGGGGCATTTGCTTAGCTCGCTTATTTAATAGTTTATAATGGACATTACTGTCGGTTTCGACGCATAAGGATCTGAGAATTGATTCGGTTATGAAATTTTGTGCGATAATCTTAAGTGGCACTTAAAACCAACTAGTGATTTACCAAGGAGGCTGCATATGGAGAAGAAGTAAGGATTGTGGGATGAGATCAGTTAGATTGGCTGACCTTTTCGATCGTGCTCTTACTTCTTGAAGACGATTCAGACAAGCTGATTGAAGTCCACTAAAACACGTTGATTTCCATTCTACCCACTCCAAGGCTAAGCGCTCGAGGGTGTTATGTGGTATATTGACAGCTGACAAGTTGCTTTTAAGCCTGTCTTTGTATCTTAGCCATGGGCGTCTTACATTCCTGTATCCCTGATCTAACTGGCTGTACATTAGGATCTTGGTTATCCTGTCATCAGACATTCTCAAGACATGACCAGTCCACCGAAACTGAGACTTTATGAGAAAAGCCTCGATTTCTCCAATATTACACCTGTTAAACAGGTCTACGTTAGATGTCCTATCTTGAAGGTTAACTCCACAGATGACACGCAGAGAGCGCTTAAGGAAAATATCTAACTGGCGTATATGGTACTTGTATGGGGTCCACGACTCTGAGCCGTACAAAAGGATGGCAAGGACAACATCTCTGTAAACTTGAATTTTCGTACCCAGTCGAATACTCCGCTCATTCCACAAGCGGTGTCGAAGTTTGCCGAAAGCACTGGTAGCCTTAACAATCCGATGCATGATTTCATCACCTAAAGTTCCACTGTAGTTGACTTTGCTATATATATATATATATATATATATATATATATATATATATATATATATGTGTGTGTGTGTGTGCGTGTGCATATATATGTGATTGTATATGTGTGTTTGTGTGCATATATATGTGTGGGGGGCATATATGTGACTGTATATATGTGTGTGTGCATATATATGGGATTGTATATATGTGTGTGTGTGCGTATACATTTATATATGTCCACATGTGTATATATTTCTATATATGTGTATATATATATTATATGTGTGTATATATATATTTATATATACATGTGTGTATATATATATTTATATATACATGTGTGTACATACATATTTATATATACATGTGTGTGTGTATATATGTTATGGTGAAACACAACAATTCTATAATTAATGGACTCTCCCAACTAATATGAGTAGGAGTAGTAAGAGAAACGAAGGTGAGTCGATGTCGGACGACAGTCGAATACGATAGTAGTCAGCGACCACAACAAGATTACTCTGCGCAATATCTATTATATCAAGTTTCTAATGTTTTGTACGTCGAACCTATTTTAGGACCGGCTTAGAACAAATTCAAGCCTCCACTGCGAAATAACTCCACAACAACTTTCGAGCTCATACGGAGGAAAAAAAAATTGCTCAACGCAATAACTTCGGCGACAAAGTCTAGGATTCACATCTAAAAAAAAACTTGGCAAATTTTTACGCAAGCCAAGACGTCAACTTAGTGACGAAAAAATCTGTCGTATTCTCAACTGAGAAAAGAATTTTTTTCCCCCGATAATACAGTTTGCTCAAATAGGTCACGAATTACAAATTCGTTGGACCCCCCCCCTCTACAGTATTTAGGCATTGTGTAAGCATTTGCGAAGTTGGAGGAATGCAAAAATATATTCCGGGAATTCTTTAAGTTCCAGTCGGAACATCAGATGACATTATTAGAGCAACAAAAAACATTCCAGATGCAGCTACAGGAGGAAACTTTTAATGGACAAATGCAATTTCAACAAAAAATGGAACAGATGCATAGGGAGTTTCAAAACAAAATTCTGGAAATAACTGAGAAGAGGAAAGAGAAAAAATCTACAATATGTTTCTTTCTCAGAGAATACAATATGGAATTCAATTGAAATATTCACGTACAGTCCAGATGAAGAGATAACTTTTGAGGAGTATTATAAAAAATACACGGACATGTATAACGAGGACTGCCACTCATGTTCTGAAGGAAAGGAGGTTAGGCTTCTTTTAAGCAAATTAGGAACTGCTGAGCATAACAAATTGGTAAACTACATTTTACCGAAAAAAACTAGCGAGTTGACATTTACTGAGGCGGTAAATATATTAAGTGAATTATTTGTTTCACAAGAGGTGGAAATGTTTGAATCTGATGAAGGATGGCGAACAAGACTATACAACGTGCGCAGCTAATGTGAATAAGCTTTTTGAAGAATTCAAGCTGGCAGAGTAAAGCGCAGACAATTTTAAGTCCTTGGTGTTTGTTCAGGGGCTGTTATCGGAAAGAGACGTAGAGTTGAGAAAATTAGTACTGGCAAAATTGGAAAGCGATCCAAGTATTACTGTATAGAAATTGGCAGAAAACTGCACAAGATATGTTAGCGTAAAGAAAGATTAAAAAAAAGATAGAACAGTCTGGTATTTCGCATGTAAGGAAAATACGCTACAAAAAAGAAAGTCAGTCTACCAAAAAGAATTCTAAAATTGCGGATTATCAAGCAAAAAGTGAAATACCAGAGAAAAATAAACAAAGACTCCCGAAGCCATGTTTTGTTTGCGGTGAACTACACTGGTACAGATATTGCAATTTTAGGAATAAAAAATGTTTCAACTGTAAAAGAGTGAGTCATAAAAGCACGCATTGCAGGTCAAAAAATAAAGACAATAAAATAAGAAAATTAAAGTTCAACGAGGTAAAAGATGGAATAACCAGGAAATTTGTTACCATCGAAATAAGTAATAAAAATATAAAAATGCAACTCGACACCTGTTCCGACCTATCTTTCATAAATTTTCATGCGTGAAAGAAGTTGGGGAAACCAACTTTAATGAAGACAATGAAAATCGCGAGGTCAGTGACGGGAGAAAAAATACAATATCTTGGGGAATTTGTTACAAACGTCACATTAAATTAAAAAAATGCGAAAAGCTAAACTATTTGTCATAGAAAATACCACAAACTTACTTGGTACGAATTGGATAACAGAATTCCAATTATGGGATCTACCGATAAATTCCTTCTGTTACAAGGTAGAAAGTTTAAACACCGAAGCCCAAAAATTAGTAAAGAAACTTAAGGAAACATTTCCTACTGTTTTTTCTCCAGGTTTGGGAACGTGTATCAAGATGGAGGCAAAATTCCAGCTAAAAGAAAACGCTCTGGCGGTATTCAAAAAGAAAAGGAATGTGCCGTTTGCCTCAATTGAACAGATAGATAAAGAATTGGACATATTAGAGAAAACCGGTGTACTTAAAAAAGTTGAGTATATTGAATGGGCAACACCGACGGTATACGTGAAAAAAGTCCCAGAAAGTAAAGATGAAGCCGACACCGAGAAAAACTAGGGAGCGAGTTATCCGCAGCCAAGGACATGCAGTATTATCAAATGATTTAAGTCAACTGAAGTCACCACAGAAAACGTTAGGAAGCACAGGATCAACAAAAGAGAAGCTAGAGGCTGAACAAATAGAACCTCAAGAAGAACTTACAGAAACTGACTCCATCTTGACTCAAAGCGGAAGGTTGTTTCTGGTAACACTATGGAGGTACCAAAAAATAGAAAAGCGGATTGGCAATATGATGTACTTGGTGAAAGGTGAAAAATTCACGTGCAGAAGGCATATTAACCAGATCAGACGACGCTCTTCAGACATGGATGACAGCGGTCCCGCGGAAGAAACGCCGATGGAAGTGATTTTCGATGCCTTTGATCTAACAACGACTGCAACGATTTTACCTGAGGTACGCCGATCCAGGAGAAAAAGAAAGGCAACTGATTTTTGTTTTTTCTTAGGAGATACGCTAGGATAAAAAAAAAAAAAAAAAATGAAGGTTTTTTTGTCTTTTCTTCATATTTCCTAAAAAATAAATAAATAAAACTGTTTTTGTTACTTTTTAGGAGAGGGTGTTATGGTGAAACACACCTATTCTATAGTTAAGTCACCTATAATAAGTAGGAGTAGTAAGAGAAACGAAGTCGAGTCGATATCGGACGACAGTTAGTCGAATACGATAGTAGTCAGCGACCACAACAAGATTACTCTGCGTAACACCTATTATATCAAGTTCCTAACGTTTTGTACGTCGAACCTATTTTAGGACCGACTTAGTACAAATACAAGCCTCCACTGCGAAATAACTCCACAAAAATATATATTTATACATATGTGTATATATATATATATATATATATATATATATATATATGGATATATATATATATATATATATATACATGGATATATATATATATATATATATATATATAAATTTATATATATATATATATATATATATATATTTATATATATATATATATATATATATATATATATATATATGTGTATATATATATTTATATATATATATATATATATATATATATATATATATATATATATATATATATATATTTATATATACGTGTATATATATATATATATATATATATATATATATATATATATGTGTATATATATATATATATATATATATATATAAATATATATATTTATATATATATATGTGTATTATATATATATTTATATCGTGTGTGTGTATATATATTTATATGTACATGTGTGTGCATATATACAATGTATCACAAAAGTGAGTACACCCCTCACATTTCTTCAAATATTTAAGTATATCTCTTCATGGGACAACACTGACAAAATGATACTTTGACACAATGAAAAGTGGCCTGTCTGCTGCATATATACCAGAGTTAATTTATTTTTCCCTCAAAATAACTCAAAATATAGCCAATAAAAGCTAAATCCCTGGCATCTATTTTCTACTGTCACTGCTTTAGTATAATAAGCTTCTCCAACGAACATAAGTTACATCTGTCTCCCTTTCCGTTGTATGGCTTACCTTTCACGATTATCTCCCAGTTAATGGTTGGGTTGTTATGGATGCTTTTAGATTTTGTGGATTTTAGCGGAAATTAAAGTTTGCATCACACATTTATTTCCATGGCCAAATATAGACATTATGTAAGTTACCGCGGGACCAATGAGAATCGCTCGATGGAGCGTATAAAAAGAAGCAGTAACCCCCCTTTCTTTTTCCTATTTTTCTCTCCGTCCATTGGTCACGAGGATCGACCTTTTTTCATTGGTTCGTCACAGAAGAAAGACGTGCTGACGTCTCCAAAAATGCAGCTTACACAGGCAGAACATATTTTATAGTCCCGAAAATATCAGACTCGTGCAGTCGTAGATTACAGGTACGGATATTTATACACCTAGCATATTTGTACATTTATTTTTTGTTATAGCACACACTGGATGATTCGGTCTTATTTACTGCCTTTTTTCCCCATCTTGTATGATTTATCTTTATCTTTCTTTCTAAATCTGCTTTTTACAACTACTAAGATTAATGGGAACGAAAAACAGTAACATCACTTGTTACTTTCAGGCATTATGACCATGTGTCTTTGTTTAAATGTATTTTAGGGAGTTACCTTTAAAATCTTTTACTAAGAAAAAGATAATATCTGCAGCAAGCTTTTTTTCTTTCATAATTCTTTTGTATTATTCAGAAAGTTGAAAACAACAACTTCAGTCTCAGCCTTCAATACATGAACGGTTCAACCTTCTCGGCTTTGAGCGTTTGGCCAAATGCAAGCGTAGCGCGCGCCGGTGTGATTCTATTGGTGAAAGACAAAAGCCAACTCGACTATGAAAAAAGAGACCACATTGATTTTAAGGTAAAGTATTAAGGGGTCTTAAACCCTTTCAAATCTCAATACAGAAATCATAAATATGTAAATCATTAATCGTATAATCACCAGTTCAGTTGTTCTCAACCATTTTTTACTTAATTTTTTAATAATTACTCATGGACCACTTATACTCTTAATTTTTTGGTAGACCTCCATAACCATTCGATGAGGAAAAAAAAGCTTATTTTATTTTTTTACTAATAGATAAGTGTTAAGAATTGCATTATAGAAATAATAAATGTATATGCTTCATTTTGAAGTAAAACTAATTTAATGACAATAAACTTGTACTTAACAACTAAACTCTATGGAACATTTATGTACACTAGTAAAATAACTGATGATAAACCATTTAATTTTGTTTTATAATCAAAACATCCAATAGAGTTAAAAGGGTCATAACTTACATCGCTTGATCTCGTCTTCTGCTAGTTTTAGAGTTGTTTTTTTATTGTTAGTATTTTAATATGGCGTAGATTACTGTAGAAATTCCAATTTTCAGTTGTAACAATCATTCTGAAGGGAAATTTTTTTGTGGACCACTAAAATATTACTATTTGCTATTTTTTGTGCCGACCCCCAGGAATGTTACTTGGGGAACCGGAGCCCATATGGACCCCGGTTGAGAACCACTGAACTAATTGATTTGGTTTCATTTGTTTAACGACATATTAACTCTTTATGGGTCACATAGTGCCAAATGTAATTTTCTTGAGCGCTTTAAGCTAAGAAAAATATAACTTATTCTGCTTTCACAATTGAATAAATAGTAGATGATACTCAGCTTTTGTGCATATGCATGATTGCGGGGATAAAACTACTAGAGGCGGTGATATGTGTGTTTATGTTGTAGCTTTGTTGAAGTTACATTTTGGGATACAGTTTGATTTCTTTAAGAAATTGTAGGATATGATGTAGATTAATGCCATGAAAAAGTTCTTTAATGTTGGTTGATGTATTGTTGGTAATTTTACTATAAATCGATATTGTTGGTAATTTTTTATATAAAAATGTATTGCTGGTATTTTTACTATAAAAATCTATTTTTTATTCTTTCATAGGATTTTCTTTATGTTTGGGGGTTCACTATTTGCCCATAGCTGGGACCCTAACAGGTATTACCACCTCTGGTCAGGGTGAACCTGGAAATAACAGCAATTAAGAGGGGGTTCTACGCTCCTCAAAACCTCCAATCCCCCGATCACAGGCATAGTAGGGCGAGAATATATTTTAAGAAGAGATGCTAAGTGGTTATTTTTTGCATAGCAATGACAATCATCGTGTTTCAAATGCAACGAAAAAAAAACTAGACTTGGTATGAGAAGTACTTCTACATATGAACTATCTTCCATATTTGTTATGCTAAAATTCTAGAATCAAGGCAATAAAACAGGAACCATAATTCGCATGCGCAAAAGTTAAAGTAGTTTGTTAATCCAATTAAAAGATATCCTGAGTGGTTGAGTGACTAACGTTATTCTATTCATGGTTTTGGAGCAGGAGTAGCTCTGACTGGCCAATAAATTGCTCGTTTTATTTTGGTTAAAGCGGATGTATATATGGAGCCTATGCGCAGAAAACATATTTACGCAGTCTGTTTCTGGTTGTAAAGAGCTCAACATCCGATATATTTAGAAAAATGTAAGAGGCACGAAAAACCGCAGCCGAGTTCTTCATCAACAATGACTCTTTCGAGGAACTTAAAGAAATTCTGAAGAATTTTGTAGAATTTCTCCCCGATATACTGAGAAGTAGTCATCCAAAGACTTATTGAGCAAGGTTCTACAATCATTAGTGATGGTTGGTCCGCTTATAATGGACTCTTAATGATCCGGGGTAAAATCACATAAGTTCATGAATAATTAATTTTGTTTATTTACAATACATGATTGTTTTTAGTTTGTAATAGACCAGTGGGTAGATAGACCAATACTATTTATATTATTATACTTTCAACGAACAGGATTCAAGTAAGCAACAAAAACCCCAAATTGTGAATCAACAAGTATATATTGAAATAATATACAGGGACAAAACATGCAATAAAATTGTATTCAATGTATAGATTAAGGGAAAGAAGTTGCTCCCCTTCAACTGTATTTTAATTTGTAATTGATCGTCCGAAGAAAGTTCTCTCGAGAGGAAAATGTCCAGGAATCAATATTAGAATAAAGGTCTATTTGTAAGAATAGATAACACACGAATACAAATGATCAAAAAGTGTGTTAGAGAAATTAACAGAGTCCTGGTTAATTGAGCTTGGCTAAGTCACAGAGAGAAGTGTGAGGTTATATTACAAAATTCTGTGTGTGCGTTTGAAATGTTAAGTAACATTGTGGAATCGTTTGGACAGGTGAAACTTACTGGATCCTACTGATGACTTGTGAAAAAGTCGCCTCTTTTATAGAAAAAAATGTAGGCTCCTACAGAAGCGCGGGAAAAGGTTAATCTTGCACTAAAATATGTGATTGGTTAAAAATTAACAAAACAGGCAAGCAAGCTCAGAAGTCAAAACTGAAGGATTCAAAGAAATGGCTGCGATGGTTAAAATGTCCTATAGAAAAGTAGTATTGATTTATTAGCCAATCGCAGACGAATAAAATGTTGGCGTCAAAAAACATAGCAATCGCTACAAGTTCATGCTCAAACATTTTCTCAAAGAAAAAAGGAACTAACAAGCATCCACACGAATGGGGGATATATATATATATATATATATATATATATATATATATATATATATATTTCGAACAAAAATCAAAACAATTTATTATTTATTTGAAAATATATTCGGTTAAAAGTAAAACTAAAAGAAAACAAAAACAATAAATATCAAATCTAATTATGGCCGCGATTCTAGACTTTTATCTTCTTTTCAGGATATTACTTATTTTGTTTTGATGAGTATTGATGTATTATTGTTGCGTTTTCGGCATATAACGACAAGAAGTATATAGATACGGTGAATGACACGAGAGTTTATTTACCAACTGAATATACAGCAGAAAAAATAAAGAAAGTGTTAAATTATCTCTTTTTTTAGAGAGTTCCTTAGAGAGATAACAGTTTACTCTAACAATTATTCAGCTGGCTTATTGTTATGTGTGTGTTTTTTATCGTGTTCTGTCGTGTAGCATATACATTAAATTCTTGATTAACCTAGTGTATACATAACGCAAATCGATCTTTCAATATTAAAAACGTCAAAAAAGTACACGGTCGTTGTTTACTGTTTTAAAAATCCTGGTAGGATCTTAAAATAATAGCAAACGCTTCCCGTATATGAACATATTTTTTCTATTCTCTTCGCTTTCTAAAATATTTTTCTCTTTGTAGATCGTTGCTCGGGGTGCACAAGGAAAATATAGTTCTTCAGCGACAGTGAAGTTAACGATTTTACCCTTTAATGAATACAGGCCGAAATTTGCAAGCAATTATACAGTTTGTTTGTTCGAGAACACAACTAAAGGCCATTATGTTACAAATGTTTCGGTTAGTGGTTTAAATCTTATTTCTCGTTACAAATGTAAAATGTAATCTCTCTCTATATATATATAAAACAGAGGATGTCTGTGTGATACCTTTTCACTCGAGATTCATCCAAGCTATTTTCACCAAACTTGGCATATACATTGTACAATGTAAGAGATCAGTTCTTAGCGTAAACAATCAATACTTTAAAAAAAAAATCAATAATCGATAAAGCCGATCAAAAATCGATAAATTCAACTTTTTTCCTCCGATTTCGTTCAAACTCGGTATGTAGGTTACTTATATCGTGACAACATCAACGATACCTCATTTTTATTTCTACGCCACTGCATTAACGGAAAAACGAAAAATCGATTTCAACACAAATTTTAAACTAAAAACTCCCTCAATTTTCAAGCAATCTAATATAAACTTCACTCAACTGTAACTAACAATAAGTTGATTGTTTAGCAGTTATATAAGTTGAAAATTCAGTCCACCCATATAGTGAAAACGCGCGTAAATAGCGAAAAATGGTGGTTTTTACTGGTTTCTTTCTTATTTTTTGTTGATCTTTCAACCAATTTTCATCAAACTTAACAATTGCTTTATAAATGTATCCTTTTACATCCCTGGTAGCGCACTAAAATTGAATTTAAAAAATCCACAATAATTGTGGTCTGAAGTGAGTCTTCATGTTGCCTGTTTTTCTACTTCATGTCCTTGGCGAACTTCGATTGGATAAATACAGACTACTTCTGTTATATCAGTAACAGCATTAATTAAATCGCTATTTAATGAAAGTACTTTAAAGTAATTGAAGAAGATAGACTCTGTTACATATAAACAAGATGCTGTTTTTGCTCCACTCTACTTGAACTTTTTCTGATCGACCAGCTGGGTATGGCTGCTAGTCGTACTAATAATCCTTACTAAAACCTCTGAAGTAGTTAGTTTGTCTTTGTTTTGTTGACTCGGAGAATAATCGTTCGAATAAACGTTTCATCATCATCATCGATCAAAGCCCGTGTTTTCTCTAGTCACGATAAGTGATTGCGCTCTCAACGAAACTTCACGCTTCGAATGTCTACTGGGTCACAAGTTAACTCCAGGTCTCGGGTAGAGTTCATATATACCGTAAGAATCACTGAAAAACCCTTTGAGTTATCCAGCTACAAAGAGAACAGGTTAAAATCATTTTGTGTCAACTCCACTGTCTTCCGAAATGAGCAATGGTGCGGGGAAAAAAGATCATTTAGGCATTCAGTTATGGTACCAACATTCATACTCTGGCTTGCATCTTCAAATTCCATTCAAGATCAAGAGAATGGGGAATAAATTTAAGAAAGAGGGTCTAATAGAGAGGAAAACTGGATCAGGTGGTCACAAAAGTAAGAGGGATCATCATTTCAACTTAGAGTTAAAGAGATCAATTAGAAAAGATCCAATTCAATCCATAGGATGTTTGGCACGTGAGAGAGGAGTTTCAGCTATGAAAAAAAAGAAAGAAAAAAGAATTGAAAATAAAATCGTACGTGAAACTTGTAAGGCACCTTGTTACTCCAGGACAGAAAGTTAGAAGGTTTGAGAGGGTGAAGATCATCTTGAATAATTTGGAAAATGATCTTGAAATAATAGATATTTGAACTTAATTTAAATTCTTCATGAGCTTCTGATCCTTATCTGATGAATTAACGATGAGAATATGATTTTCGTTTATGATCGATTTCATCATGATTTTTCTGCTAACCTTGGATAGTAATTACGCCTTCTTATTGTTAAAAGCCAAAGAGTCAAATAGGATAAAATAAGAAGTGTTTAATGGTTGTTTCAGTGAAATGGCAAAGTTGTCAATTTCAAATCTTTTCATTTGTACGTCCTTTTTAAAGTCTTTGTGCGAGGTAGCATTGACATACTTGGGAAGGGCATTAGAACAATCCAGAACCTGTACTGGCAGCAAACTGCCTGCATACGGATAGAAAATGAATTCAGTACATATGCAAAAATAGAAAGGGGGGTATAAGACAAGAATATATCTTTTCGCCAGATCTATTCAGCCTATACAGTGAGGCGATTCTGAGAAAAGTCCTATTGGCGGCCACAGTCTTAACAACAGAAGATATACAGATGACAAGGTGTTGATAGCAGACGCAGAAAAGGAAACTACAAGAATTCCTACAGAAAGTATTGAAGGAAAGTAAGAAGAAAGGACTAAACATCAATTGCAAGAATACAGAATGCATGGTTGATAGCAAAATGCACAGTCAAACACGCGAGTTACGAATTAGAGATACCAAAATCAAACAAGTACTACAATTTTAATAACAGGTATGTGTTTTAACAGTGTATAGAAAGCGCAACACTGAAATCCGAAAGCGTATTGCGAAAGATGCCTTCCAAAGCTAAGCAAAATACTAAGAGAAATTTTTCGTTAAAAACAAAGAAAATGGTACTGAACCGTGATGTGATATCAGTCTTTCTATATGATAATGAATACTGGACAATCTACTCATACAGAAGAGACTTAAAGCAACAGAAACTGGGTTCTACAGAAGGATGCTGAGAATACCATGAACTGAACATGTGAGCAACCACAAATGCTTAGAGAAAATGGAAACAAAAAGTACACTTATACTTAACATCAGAATGAGTTGAAATTTCTAGGTTACATAATGAAAGAAGGCTTGGAAAATTTGATACTCACAAGACAGATAGAAGGCAAGAGGGACAGAGGAAAAACAACGCGTAACCTACCTAGCGACCTTGACTAAATGGATGGTGTGTTGCATCTTCTCTCGAGGCCAGTGATCGCTATTTGTTTTCGTTAGCAATAAATGACATCAACACGGAGAGTTTTAACTTATTTAGTTTTATTATTCACGTCGACGTCTACATTTTCTAACTATGCAGTGGGGTCGATCCCCCCTCCCCGCCGATGAGCCGTTCCATACATGAAAGTGAACACGTGTACATTGCTTGAGGTGTAAAACTCGACTCTCAAAAACCTTTCACTATCTAATTCCTATGTTAGCTCAGCCAATCAAAATCGACTTTCTTATTATGTCTTCCATCTGACCTCGAAGGTGAACACAAGGAAGTCGAAACAGAGATACACTTCCTCTAATAAATTATAGTCTTCTAAACTATTATTTAACAGGTAGAACAAGATTTCGGAGAGACAAAATTTATTAAAACCTATTAAGACAGGATATTGTGGAGAGCCATGATCGACAACGTTCTGAATGGAAACGGAACATAGAAGATGAGCAATAATCTGTGAATTGATTTGACAAATGACGGGAAATATGATGTAAAAAATCTAAAGGTTTATTGGAATAGTTAACGATGCCTTCAAAAAGCTAAGCAAAGTATTAAGAAACAGGGGGATTACGTTAGAAACAAAGAAAACAGTTTTGGGCTTCTATGTAATATCAATCTTGCTGGAATGCTGGACCATTTCCTTACAGACCTGGGGCAACTGAGATCTAGCTATATAGAAGTCTGCTGTGAATACCAATAAGGTTTTAAGGAAAATAGAAATAAAAAAGAACACTTGTACTTAAGACCAAAAAGAGATAGTTGAAATTTTGAGGACATGACGAGGAATAAGGGCTTGGAGAATTTGGTACTCACAAGACATATTGAAGGCAAAAGGAGCAGAGAAAAACAGCGAGTAATCTACCTAACGAGCATGAGTAGATGGAAGGCAGAACAGAGCCTGGGAGGGATAGTAATGAGACAAGTATTGCTTAAAGCTGCGAAAGACTGGATGTTCTGAGGAGACACGGCGCATAAAACGAAGAATTTATATAAACATGGCTGTTTCACAGAAGTATAGTAACTGTATCGTGAAATTTGAATCAGTTGATTTTGTCGCTTAAACGCGAAGGCAATTGCCGCAAAAAGTCAAGATCACGAAGATAAGGCGTACGAGTTCGAACCTCTCCGAAGGCTTATTTTTTATCAGTTAACGCTACTTAGCAAGGATTATGGAACGAAGATCTGGGAGGTGTGTTAAAAAGCTACTAAAATTAAGATGACAGAAATACGAAGTCGATAATTAATAGTAATCAACAATGCTTCATCCAGGAAATTCAAACAAATCAAAGTTACTACAACTTGGTTTAAAGGCAAAAGATAAAATATTTTCTATTTGCGCATGAAACTCAACTGGTATTTGAACTCAGCTTTCCGATTTCTCATTCCAAGCCGCAAGTAATTGCACCATCTACACATCCTCACTCGTCCTGGGAGTGACGATAAACTACATCCGGCAGCAAGGTTTCTGATCGGGAAATTGTAATCTGACTCAAGGGGGCGCGGGAAGTAATAATGAAAGGCGAAACCATTCATTATCTTCATTTTTTGACATTTCAGTTTATTACAATTATTGATATGTTTTGTTTTCCGCTTATATAGGCTACAGATGACGACAGAGGAATTCATGGGAATATTACATACAGTTTATATGGCAGCAACGGTTTGTAAGTATTCTATCATATCTTATGAATTTCATATTTGCTCAGTGCTCAGTAGTAAGGCAAGTAGACTGAAGGCTAACAAAACTGAAGTTTCATTTAAAATGTCGAAATTAGTCTAACCAAAAAAAGGATGATCCTCGTCAAGAGCCATAGACTTCATTCACTCGAAAACGCCTTTAACCATTGATCTGAGAAATCGGTTGTATATAACTGACAGTTTAGAGATTTCTCATTGATTTTATTGGGATCGAGATAAGTGGTAATCCGAAAGTGCAAGATCAGGTGAGTATGATTGGGGTGTAGAAGAACATCACAGACTAGCTGAACCAATTTCTGTTGGCACTGCAAAAAGACGTGATGTCTGTCGTTGCTCTGATAAAAAACGATATTCTTCCGATTGGCCAATTGCAAACGCTTTTCTTCAAGTGTTGCCTTTAATCGGTCCAATTGAGAATAATGCTTTTCTGAAGTCAACATTCGATTTTGTGGAAAGAAACCATAATACTCAATGACCATACAACCCCCACCAAATACACGACCACATTTGCGTTGATTGCAGAATCGCCTAGTGTTTACCACAGGACATTTTTCACTCTGCATTGTTGTAAATAATCCATTTTTCATTGGCTATGATTTTTCTTTTAAAAAAGGGTTATTTTTGTTGCATCTGAACAGAGAATTGCATATGGAAATGTCGTCCATTACATTTTGAGTCATCCAAACCTCATAGCAATTTATGGCCTGTTTTCAACTGCCTTACATGTGGAATATCTTTCTGATATCCTATGTCATGTGACCAGGATTATTTTTAATAAGTGCTTCGATTTGATCATTATATGATTAGACAAGGTCAATTATTTTTATTGCTGTGCAATGATTTTACCAATTACTTTTAGTCATTTTCTCTATTTTTTTAATACTAGAGAAAAATTTCAATAAAAGAACGCTACTTTGAACCAGCAAGCAAAGTACTGTCAATATAGTAATTAATCATAAATACATTTTCTTATTACGCATTGGTTGCCAAGGCGCAAATTGTAGATTTTTCCCGTGATTTTGTTTTTATTTTCTGCTTATTTTGACTTTTTTTTGTTTGATTTTCTTTTTGAAATATTTTTTCTGGAATATTTTTCTGAAAGGTTTTTAATAGACAAATTCACAGGCGTTGTCACACTGGGCAAGGAAGAACTTGATTATGAAAAAGTTAAGTCATACCATTTGACTGTCGACGCCACTGATGGTGGCAACAAAAAAGACACGACCAGTTTGTACGTTTGCATCAACGATACAAATGATGAAGCGCCAAAATTCACTTCAAGTAAATACGAACAAACGGTGAAAGAAAACGAGGAGATCAAAATTAAAGTCCAGGTGAGTTGTTGTAGCTGTTGTTGTTCTTGTTCTTCTTCCTTTTCTTTTCCTTTATCAAACGAGAGGACACGTGACTCCTATATGAAGGAGGTTCGCTTATAGTTCGATTCACAGTCCTCAGGTTTATCTTGAGTCCTATTTTTTGGAACACTTAATAGAGGATGCTGATTTTCTGTTCAAGATAATTCTTATCACAAATATGAACACCTATATCATCAGCAGAGCCCCCCTCCTCATCATCAGTACATTGGCCTTGGAAGGGAAAGCAGGATTGTTGTCTTTTATTGGTAGACTCGTTTGGGATGTGGTATGGTATGTTTAAATGGTCAATGTCCATCCCATCACATCTGTGTAAATGCGCAGGCATAGTCTAGGAAGAGCAGGTGTAAATATGTTTGCCTATCGTCCAGTTCACACTCCTTCCCGGTCTTTGAAGTGGAGGTTTATCCCTTGTTTCCTGTTTAGGATTGAGTTTCCGTCTCATTCTGAAGTTTACTTCAACTCTGTAATTCTAACCACCTGAACTCTGAAATATTCTTTACTATTTATTTATTTTTCCTCGGTAGGATTAGATAAGTTCGCCTATCGTCCGGTTCAGACTCCTCCCCGATATTTTGAACAGCAACAAAGGTTAATCCCTTGTTCTCTGTTTAGGATTGGGTTTCTGGTTCCTTCTAAATCCTTTTCTTCTTTTCTACTTCTGGTGCCCCCTTGTATTTTGGTGGTATTATCTCCTTGATTGGGTTGGTACCTCTTACTCTTTAACCTTCTGTCTTGAGTGGCACTCAGGACTTGTACAGAGTGAACAAAGAAAAGGGAAAAAAATTTCGTCAGTGGTGGATTGGGGAAGAATTCTTGTCATATGTATAAAGGTATAAGCATAGTGACAACAATTCAGAATGGGGAAGCAATTGAAGAGATCTGGAATTGCAAGGTGAGCAATTCTACTTGGCATTCTGAGAATTCTTGCTGCTTTAGCATCGGGTAGAATGAAATAGCCCCTTCGTAAGACAAGCGCTGGAGTTGTCGACTTGAAAACACTAATTATATAAGAATCCGTAATAAAATATAATTATCCTTAATAAAATAAAAGAATCCTTAATCATACTTATTATAAAACCTAGGTTGTGTGTGTGTGTGTGTGTGTGTGTGTGTGTGTGTGTGTACGTTTATATATTGGATCGGATTTCCTACATTTTTCAACCGATTTCAACAAAACTTCACAGGACTACGTAAAATTACCCTGCGGTGGTTCTGACAGCGCCAAAAATTGGAAAAACACAATTGTTTTTGCACAAAATCAATTTAAAGACACGATTAAGAGGCATCACGAGAATGAAAGGGGGACAACTCATATCGAGTTATACTTTATAAAACCCAGGTTGTTTGTGTGTGTGTGTGTTCGTTTATATATGGGATCGGATTTCCTACATTTTCAACCGATTTCAAAAAAAATTTTTTTTTTTTTGGCAGGTAGTGTTTCTTATTGTTTTGCACACTTTTTCTTTATTTTTACATTCAGAATGCTTTAAAAATTCTATTTACAAGATAATTGTTTATAATAAAATTCTATTCAATCGGTAGACTCATAACGATTGAAAACAATGTTTTTGTTTGAGTTTGGGTTTGACCAATTCGTAAAAAAAACAAAACAAAACAAAAAAAAACTAATTAAGACATGCGTGTCCGTCAACCTGAAATAACAATCTTTGTCAATTTTAGTTTTCAGTCTTTATGATGGTCGATACTTGGTCTATCTCTTATTGTTACATCCCCGGGCAACGCCGGACTCTACTGCTAGTAAAATATTATTATCCTTAATAAAATATAAGAATCCGTAACAAAATATAAGTATCCTTAACAAAATATAAGTATCCTTAGTAAAATCAAATTATCCTTAGTAAATATAATTATACTTAATAAAATATAAGAATCCGTAATAAAATATAATTATCCTTAATAAAATATAAGAATCCTTAATAAAATATAAGAATCCTTAATAAAATATAATTATCCTTAATAAAATATAAGAATCCTTAACTCTTTCATCTGTGTTAATTACTACTGTTTGTTGTTCGAATCCAGTTAAAAATCATTATTTTAAATATAGATTTTGCAAGCTAAGAAGACCGACTATACCTAGACATAATCAGTTATCAGCTCTAAAAAAGGATTTCTACAAAAGTCTAATTTTTGTTCATCGGGGCAGATTTTGAAAACTTGGTCGGTCACGAGACTTTTCAGCACACCCTCCTCTATAAGTGTTGCATATAGTGTGAATGTTATAGGTCCCGAAAGTGGAATCGGCGGGTCAAGTTCAAATTCTGGTCGATTCTGTTTCGTCATTTTGGAAAAGGCAAGAATCAATTTTCCCACAGCTATGGGCTCTCTTACCTTTGCTGGCAGCCAGTGTAAGAGAAGAAAAACTCGGAATTCAAACCTGAGGAGGACTGTTTGAAGACGTTGCGGCACACTGCACAATTTCTCTGATATCAGGTCTTCCGGAAAGTGGGGCCGGTTTTACACAATCTTTCATCACTATAAGAAAATCACCAGTCTGTTTGTTCAGTTCCAAACTGATTTGTTGTGTCTTCATAAGCAGACGTATTCATTTTCAAGTTTCTCTAGACGGAAGATGAAGCCAATCTAATTTCGTGTCTTTATTTTTCACGCTCTTCTAGGCATCAGACGAAGCCTAATCTAATTTTCTTATCTCCATTCTCACGTTCTTCTAGGCGAAAGATAAAGACGAACCCGGTACTCCAAATTCTAAGGTGTCATATAGTATTGTGAGCGTCAGTCAAAAACTTACGAAGAACTTCACAATTAACAATACTTCAGGAGTAATACATGCAAAATCAATTGACTATGAAAAGCTGACCTCTGGTCAAATTATTCTTGAAGTTGAAGCTTCTGACCAAGGTAATCCCCAAAGGTACACGAAAACGAATGTGACTATTAACATTCAGGTGAGTAAAGTTTCTTATCTTTCAAACTGATATATAGATTCAAATTGCGAAACAATGATCAAACGAGCAACGTGATGTTTTTTAATCATTAATATTAACTATTAAAGCATCTTTTTTTATTCTTATCTTAACATTTCCACCAGTTTCTGCTTTAGACTTATTCAGCTTGTGAGAGATTATTATTATAATATTTTTGTCCCAGTGGTCACGCTGGTGCTCCAAAAGGCTTGATAACGAACTCTATTGTTTATAGTTTAATGCAAAGGTAATAATTGTTCGTCGTAAGTTCGGGAGAAAGCAACGCAAAGAGACTCATTATATATTTACGTTTTATTCGGTCGGGTTAGCTCAGACATTCATGAGTCTATAACGCCAACAGTCATTGATCCTGCATCAATGTCGGAGGTCATTAGGGGGGCATTCTTCATAGCTGGTCAGTATAGGTAGTTGCTGGTACGGCCAACCCGTCTTGTTCTATGGCCATAGAACAGTAGATCACTCGCGAGTTCTTGCTTTGCTTGCGTGCTGCAAAGCGCTTTCAGCGTAGGCGTAAGATTGTAGAAATATCAGGGATGGTTCCATTGAGCTGTGATTTAGTTGGATATCATCTACGGGATCACCATAACAAATATTTACAATACTTCCTGGCGAATTAAACAGGAAATAATTAAAACAGATAATTGGTTCCAATGAACTGCTCCAGTGAAAGGAGTTCGTCGGGGTCAAACCCAAATTTAGTTCGCAGTTATCTTTAGAAAGTGGAAAGCGAGCACATTCCACCATAGCCTAATAACCGCTTGGGTGATCTGAAAAAGTCGATAGTAATCAAATAGCTGACTATTAGATAATGGAAGCATAAGAAAATCTCCGAATTCAAATATTTACAGAAAATACTAACCAGTAAAATGTTCCTATTCTTCGGAGATCAACCAGAGAAATGAGTCGAACGAATTCTGCCGCTGTACTCATTTTTGCTTGCTTTGCTTTACGGTATATCAATGGGTTATTTAATTCCGACAAGATTTTTATTGCTGATAATATTAAAAAAAATGTATTTCTGGTAATAATTTTTTCCCAAAAAATGTATTGGTGGTAATATCTTTTTTCCAAAAATGTGTTGCTGGTAATATTTTTCTTTTTCAAAAATGTATTGCTGGTAATATATATATTTTTAAATGTATTGCCGGTAATATATTTTTTAAATGTATTGCTGCTAATATTTTATTTAAGTGTATTGCTGCTAATATTTTTTTCAACACATACATCCTTACAAATTCAAATCTCCAACAGCATTCATGCATTGATCAAGAAGCAACGCTGCTATCTGAAGCGACAATTTTAAAATCGCTATATTTTCATATAGTAGATTTTGTGCACTTTTGGGAGAATCGGCTCCCAGAAGTCTCCCCAGAGCTCATGCAGTGAGTGGTCAGTATCGACCAATCAGATTCCCTGCATGTAGAAAATGATTTTCCCGCGCAGCACTCCTGAGCCAATAGTCACCTATATAAGCATAAGAAAAGAGGAGACGCATTAGTGAGATTCAGCTGCGACAGAAATCCAAGACAGTTGAAGCTATGCGCCCATCTTCTCACTCAACTCTCAAACTGCATAATCTTTCACACTTATATAATTTCCTCTTAACATAGAAAACGTCATTGATCTAGAATTAATGTACGAAAGAAAGTATTGTAAATGAGGAAGGGATGTTCAGTGGTTAGGAACGACAACTTTGCTCTATTAAATGCATTGCTAATGATTTTACTATAGAAATATGCTTTAAACGTTACTGATATAATAGAACTGTTACTAGGTTAACATTTTTTATAACATTTGAAAAGTCTTTCTGAACATAAACTTATTTTGAAGGCATAAAATTGGTCCTGTTTTTTTTAATACTTATCAGGATGTTAATGATAACCCTCCACGTTTCACCCATCCACTGTACAATTTTATTGTTCCTGAAAATTCTACCACCGGTAAGTTAATTTCTTTAACATCTGTATATATTTCTGAGATGAGATATTGTAACTATTTATATTATTCGGACTTTTGTCCTCAACTTTATTATCATATTCACGACGTTTCGGCCTTTGCACGCCGAAAATAAATGGAATTAACTGAAATTGTGATATCCAAAAAAGGTATGTCATGTGGAACTATGACAAGCTTCCCCATGGACTAAATAAAGAGCTCAGTTCGTGATTCAAAAGTATATCACCTGAAGAAAGCCAGAACGTACAACGTCCGAAACGCTGTGACTATGACAATAAAGATGAGGGCAGTAGCATGAACAATGTAAATAGTTAATTTCTTTGTTTAAACTTTTGATTCCGTCAAGGAATTCTTTATAAGTGGTGAATAGTTCGCCTTAAAGCTACATCCAGCTACTGTGCACGGCTTTAGAGTTGGAGACTATTTAGTTTCCCCTCCCACAATGGTAAGTTTAATATAAGGTCAAATTTAACATGTTGTCATATACACGGATTTGCTGGTAGTGATAGAAATTCCATCGGCTCTTACCTTTCTGGAATGCGTCAGACAACAAGGATTGGTTCTAACCCTTCCTCTTTAAACTCAATAGAGAAAGTGCAACCATTGAGAAAGGATCCTCGGAATTAAACTTTAATTTCAATCTCGGCGTAAAAGAAAATGCGAGAAACGATAAAATTTAATAAGCTTACTTTTGACACAAAACCGCAAGCATGGAGCACATACTAAGGATCGAATTCACTACTCAGTAGCAATGGCTAGCCACAATACGGTATGTTACAGAATACATATACTCAGTAGCAATGGCTAACCACAATTCTGTATGTTGCAGAATAAATATACTCAGTAGTAGCAATTGCCAACCAGATAAACTGGCGCACCATTATCCAACAACAAGGAGACAATTCAGAATATAAGATCGCCAAAACTAGTCGGCACTAGCATCTTCTAGTACGTTCGTATCTCCAGCCAGTATCTTTTTGTAGTCAATCTCTGGCCCCCAGGCCTTCCCAAAAGGGCAAATGGACTGTTTTGGGATTTTGCTAATTTAAACACACGCGCAAGTACCCTTTAGAAATTTATGACTCGTTCTCCTGTCTCTCCTCCAGCACATCTGAACATTTCAAGTGAAATAGAAATCAAGTAACGACATGTTTGTATCCGCGGAAAAAAACGTTTGTAGAAGGGAAATAGGCTTTCCACCACAAAATTAAGTAAACGATTTTGAGCTCCATCAAGGTTGGCAAGTAAAGGCCACCCTGCTATTTAACACTAGATTCTCTAGTTTTGACTGGTAGCTAGTCTAACTGGCTTCCCTCAAGGATTGAGAATCCAGTCTAACTTGTTCTTTAATAGATTAGCTTACCCTCAAGGCTAGAGAATCCTGTTTAACCTTCTATTTAATAGACTAGATGCCTTTTCCAAGGTCTTTAGTGTAAAGTGAAAACTGACGAAGCTGGAATTTGAACTTGGATTGCCAATTTCACTGTTTGCTCTGTACCAACCGATTCCTTTCCTTTTCAATATTGATATATAATTGGAACAGTATCAATTATACATTGAAAAACACCAACATTTCGGAAAATATTAATTCCTATTTATCTCCATATGTGTTTTTTATTTGGGTCTCTTTCCAGGTGATTATATTGGTAACGTTTCAGCAACTGACGCTGACCGGCAAAGCATCAACCATAGACTCACTTTTCTTCTGGTCAATGAAACTGACAAGTTTAACATAAACTCTGGAACTGGTTCTATTTTCATTCTTGGTAAACTAGACCGAGAGAAAAATGACCACTATCGCTTGCTAGTGGAAGTCATTGATGGTGGTTCCCCGTCTCTAAATAGCACCGCCATCTTGAACATCACAGTCACAGACGTCAATGACGAATATCCCGTGCTGATAGATTCTTCAGCTACTATTGAAGTTGCCGAGAACATTTCAGTTAACAGCTCGATCGTGAAAATTAATGCCACTGACCAGGATTTAAACGCTAAACTAGTTTATGGTATCTACTCCCAACAGATTCAAGTTGATGGCAAGGGAATGTACGTTAATAAAATCTCAACGGTAAGCTTTCTTAAGTTTAAATATTTTACATTTGCTGACTAGATTACTCGTCTCGTCGGTTGTGCGCATAGCGCACTGGTTAGCACATCAGAAAGAGAATAACTGTCTATATTTCTGAGATGAGGTACTGTAGATATTTATATTGTTCGGTCTCTTGTCCTCATCTTTATTGCCATATTCACTATGTTTCGGCCGTTGTACGTACGGGCCTTCTTCAGGATCTGTCTATATTTCTGAGAATGGGTATTGTAACCATTTACATTATCCACATTATTTACATCATTCGGGCTGTTATCCTCATCTTTGTTGTCATATTCACGACCTTTCGGCCGTTGTACGTTCGGGCCTTCTTCAGGATCTGTCTATATTTCTGAGATGAGATATTGTAACTATTTACATTATCCGGACAATAGCCCGAACAATATAAATAGTGTACATCAGAAAGAGAAATCGGCCATCCGATTTCGAATTTTGGATGCATTCGTTACACTCACTTTCGAACAAATATACTTGGGGAAACAGTATAAATGTATCTATCACTAACACCCTAGTAATTGGTTAAAATATTGATTCTCATTACGGGCTTTGAGGTCCACATGTTGGACTGAGAAATTTTTAAAATGGGAAATGGAGTTTATCCCAAGGAAAATAAGTGTTTTTGAAATTGTACCCGAAATTATGACAACGTATTTTATTTTTGAGGGTAAATAATTCAGAAATTATTTAAATAAAATATTTTATGTTTGCTTCTTATAATAAATTATATTGTAACGGGAGAGAGCTATGAAAGAAAGATTTATTCTCTTATTTGAATTTCCCCCATTATGGGTATTATTATATCCGTGATATAATAATACTGAGAAACGGAATGGCTGAAAGGAAACAGAATGACAAACATGTTTTATTCTCAGAGAAACTTTTATATCACTAAGACATACACAAAACTATATATGCATGTCCGATGCGGAGAATAATATATCACATATATCTACTCAGAAAAGGAAAATGTAAGAAGAAACAAAAAGAATGGTCTTGCATATAATATGTACTCCTGCGTCTGGAGAAGCCATTTTTAGGACTCCAGATTCAAACGGAACGGATTCTTCAATGTCCCAAGCGAGGACATATTCCACGAACGGGAAACAGCGAGTCTTGGTTTTTTCCTAAAATGTGGACTGTGCATCAACTGCACCATAGACTTGTAAGCTGGGGGGGGCGGATTTAGATGCAGTAAACAAACTGAAATTTGACTTCTGCTTTGACTATATAGTCAAATGTCATTAAGCGGTCGTCAGGTGACCAACGTGTCTTTTCTCCACTAAAGATGGATAAGCACCTTTTGTATCTTTACAATATTTTCAAATTGGTTTGATACATTTTTTCATTGTGTGATGACAGAAAGCCATGGTCTTCATTTAATTTATTTTTTAATTTATTTTGAGACCAACATTTTGACCCATTTACAGTTATTTTAGTTTTGAAAGCATTACTTTATCGGTTTTATATTAGAACCTATAGTGGGTCAGCCAATTTGCATTGGTTATAAATAGAAATAAAAACTGACCCTCTACTATTTTTTACAATATCAAATGTAACAAAGACAACAACAAGAGAAATAATCAAGTAGAAGAAATTGTGAATTTGTTCAACAATAAATATTTTTTATAAACACAACAAATACATAATATATAGTGCAAAAGTTGATAAACACAATAGAGTTCTTTGGTGTGTGTTACTGAAAGAATTTGAGTTAATTTACGTTTGAAAATGAGAAGGTTAGTTAGCTATATTTGTTGTTATAGGAAAATTAAACAGTTGTTTTTTTTCTAGTAAATAGAAAAAAGTATTGTTCTTGACTCACTGATTGTTATAGAGTTATCGCTCTTGAACCGGAGATTCTTGTTGTGAATAGAATATTTTGTGGGAGTGAGCGTTAAGCCTGGAAATGGTTGACAAGGTTTGTTTTTGTGTTGAAGATTTAGTTCGTCTCCTTTGCTGTGTTGATTTCCAATGAAGACAAGTGAATTGGTTCAATATTTTAAGTGCCCACTGACCAAGTCGCGTCGAAGTTTCGTTTTTATTAGTTCTCTTGGTTACGTGGGGAGGCTCGTGAACATGTTTACATTTTGTGGCGTCAACTAGAGGTCAAAATTTGGGTCGGTACCTTCGGATGTAGTTGACGACATATAATTAATATTTTACAACCAATCAAAATGCATCAGTTGTTATATTTGGTTGAGAGCCTCAACGTGTTTAACTTGCACAAAATTTAAGATTTTAAAAAATGTAGGAATCTGATTCTGCAAACCGTTAATCCACTTTTTTTTTTAGTTATTTATAATTTATCAAACTTTTTTTTATTTACAAGCAATGCCTGTTTTAAATTTTATCATCTGATATGGTGAAAATTAAATTTAAATTTCCTTCCTGTAATCATTTTAGTTAGGATTTATATTTTCTACCACTATTTACTTTTGTAAATAAAATGTATTTCCTGTTACATGGAATTTCTATTTGTCTTTATGTGGGTCTGGAAAAAAAAACACCAAAAATGAGCCACACGGAAGAAGAGGTTGAGAAACACCGCCTTAGAAGGAACTGGAAACCCAAAACAAGCCTATGCTTCTTTTCAAAAGACTGGGGAGGAGATGTGGCACAAGGCCCAAAAGTACTACTCAATCATAATAATTCTAGCAAGACAAGCTTGCTAACCATTACACCACGTCAAAATGTTTTTCTAAGCATAGCCAAGTTGAGGTACAAGGCTGCAAGTATGGAACACCCAGTTAGGATCATATTCACTACTCAGTCATAATTGATCTAACAAGACAAAGTTGTTAACCATTACATCACAGCAAGGTGTCCACAACATCTTAGCGATTAAAAACAAACTGTTTTGTTAAAACTGAATTTGACTTGCATTTAGAAAAAGTACTATATATACTTGCATATCATGCGAATTTTGAAGACCTAATTTTGTAGCTAATTTTTAGAGGGTTGCATCATACATAAGATATAAAATTAGTGTATGTACTGTTGGCCCTGTGTATGTGGTTGACGAAACTGTATATCCATTTATTATTTAAAATTTAAAATGGATCTGGAGATATCAGGAGCCATGTAGTCAGGATTTATATTTTCTACTACATTTTGCTTTTGTCAATAAAATGCAATTCCTGCAAAAACGGACCAAAAACGGATCACACGGAATAAAAGGTTGAGAAACACTGGGTTGTCTAGGTTTGCTTGATGTGGTAACCTATCTAGGAGAAGGAAAAATCTAAATTCAAAACTAGCCTGAAAAGAGAAGGAAGTAAAAGAGCTGAAGTAGACTTTAGAAGGAGTGTGAACCGGGCGATAAGCAAAAAAATAAATCTACTTTTCAAGATATTAAAGGAAAATATCTAAGAAATGCGAACACAAAGACAGAATGTTTATTTTGTCTTGTCTTCGCATTTCTTAGGTATTTTCAAGAAGACAAACAATGGATTAGCAAACTGTTCCCCTCTAAGTAAGATATTTCGTAGTCTGTGTATATTTCTGAGATGAGGTATTGTAATTATTTACATTTATATTGTTCGGACTGTTGTCCTCATCTTTATTGTTATATTTACCACGTTTCGACTATTGTACGCTTCGGCCTTCTTCAGGCGATTGGAATCTCAAGGACACTTGGCCCAGGGGATAAAAGTTTTGACCCAAAGAGTTGTGAGTTCAATATCTGGCTGCTGAAGTGGTGAACAAAATCTTGAAGTGTTGAGTTAAAGGAAGATAATTGAGACATCAGGAAGCGGCATGGCAAGTGGAACTAGAACATTCTACCTTAGTGGGCGAAATAAAGGGATCAGTTCGAAATTCTAATCACCCTAAGAAGGCCGGAGCGTACAACGGCCGAAACGTCGTGAATATGGCAATAAAGATGAGGACAACAGTCTGAACTATTTTAACAATGTAAATATTTCGTAGTTAATACGAGGTATGTTTAATTAGGGGGATCAGATTAAACTGCAAATTGGGGATCATCAAACTGCGTATCTGATGAATATATAAATCATTTTGTGTTTTAAATGAAACAGACCGTATATAAGTTTTAAGACCCAATTTGTTTCTTAAACCGCATTTAAAGAAATTATACTATATAATCTTTTATGAACGTGATAAACAAAGCTGTTTAAATGAATCAAATTAAAATAGCAGACAAGAGGATGTGATAATTTATCTGAAAATCCATTGCATTTTTTTTTTTAAAATGCAAAAGATCACAGATGAAGAAGAGAATTAACAGAGATGGGATTCTACAGAAGGATGCTGAGACTACCATGGACGGAGCATATGAGCAACTAGGAAGTTTTTAAGGAGAACGGAAACAAAACGTACACGTATACTTAGAATCAGAAAGAAACAGTTGAAACTTCTATGATACATGATGAGAAAAAGGAGCTTAGAGAATTTGGTACTTACAGGAGAGACTGAAAGCAAGAATAACAAGCCAAAATATTGATTTTATAAATGCCACCCTAATTAAAAAAGAACATAATTTATTATATAGAAAATAGAAGGAATTATGATAAATATCTTATAATCTATAAACATATGTCAGACACACTTTATGATATTACCAACTTTTATAAAATAATACTTAATGAATGTAGAATATGTCGACCTACTACCATAACTGATGTAACTTAAACTCTTCCAACCACAAAATACTATCCAAATGAAGATGCGGAGGACAACTACCAAACATTGACACAAATGCTTACAACACACACACACGCACACACACACACACACACACACACACACACACACACACACACACACACACACACAATTAAAAAGTAATTAAAAGTGAATATGATGATATGCATTGTGGGATAACCGCTACATAAAAACAGTTAACTGGAAGTGTATTGGCCGGGACACTCCGAAGATGTGGAGAATTACGTACGCAAATGTCCTGAATGTGCCGAAATAAAGAATTTTCGCCACAGTAAGATACATTATTGGCTTAAAGAAACAGAACCATGGTCTAGAGTTCATATGAATCACGCACAAGTTAACGAGGTAGGTTTATGTCTAATATTGGTTTACACATTTTCCGTCTGGTCCTCAGGTTTTTCGAGTTGAGCATAAAAACATCTATTACTGAAAAACAAATATTACGTATAATATTTACTAGAAATGGAGCACCAAAAACATTAGTAATTGATAATGATCCCGAATTCTATGACGAAAGTCTATGCTCGTGGTTAAGGAAGATTGGCCAAAACATTTCTTTTCCATCATCAATCAAATGGGATTGCTGAACGAATGGTCCAAACGATAAAGATGGAATTGAAAGCATTTTCTTCTCAGCAAGAAAAGATTGAGACTTTCCTACCAAGATTATTGTTGAGTTACAGAATGATACCACATGCTGACAGATTAAAGAGCCCATCTCCATTGATGGGGAGACAGCTTAGAGCTCCATTAACCATGTCTTACTCTATTAATGAAAACATATGATGCAAAAGAAATATAGAAAACTAACTGGAAAAGACAAATTTCATAATGCAAAAAGAATACAACATGGCTTTAATATCTAAAAATGGTGAAAATAGTTACCCATGCAGATCAGTTAAGAGTTGGCCAAAATTACGAGGAAGTACAAAGAGAAGTTGGTTCGAATAACTATGTAGATGAACAAGAAAGCAGAGCAGACGAATCAATGGATGATCAAAATTCTTTGGAAGATTCGGAGTACGAAACATGGGACACTGAGAATAAAAGAACTTGATCAAGGTTCCCCATAATGAGAAATATTTGCGAAACCGGTGAGAGGAAATGTAGGAGAAGCCGTAGATCCACACAGGGTGTGAAATCCCCAAAATTCAGAGAGATGCAATGGAATTGATTTAGGTAATTAGTATAAAGAGAGCTATAACTATAGCTCACGGGTAACTTGGAATCAGTGTACGTAGAATAGTTACTACTACTACTAAGTTGGATCATCATAACAATCACTATTTTTTCAGTTGCTTTAAAATTTGAATTTTTATTGTTCCCTCCTGACCCACACACAAATCCCAATGCTGGATGTTCAAGCACCAGATGAAAGGCAGATTTTCGATCCTGGGATCATTCTGATTCCAAAAAGGTATAATACGTCTATGTAGAGCAAGTGTGGCCCGAGATAGAGGGGGTTTCGGACACACGGACGGACTAAGAGAATTTGCCTTTTATTTATTTAGATATCAAAGCTATATCTATCTTTATATATATATATATATATATATATATATATATATATATGTATGTATGTACGTATATATTTTTTAGGATTATTTTGGTATAGACAAGGACACCGGTGAAATTTTCTTGAAGGTAGAATTGGATCGTGAAGTGGCCGAACTTATTTCCCTTGGAATTGAAGTGAACGACACGAACGCTGTCGGCCATCCTCAGGTTTCAAGAGGTACTTTCTTTTCTATATTTTTATTTCATTCTATTTATTTATTTATTTTTTAAATATTTCTCTGGTTTTGAACTCCTAATTAAGTATTGCATAAATTTTCAAGTTACATTCGTTAAAAAAAATGTAAATTGTTCAGTTTCAACCCCCCCCCCCCAGTCATCATGGCATGAAATCACGATCGAAGATTTTTAAAGGTTTTTCTATGATTATCACAGATATGACATTTTGCATTCATTGCTCTCTGGTGGCGCTGATGCAATCAGTGTTGTTTTGCAGCGATGTTACTGGAAATCTCATCACGTCTTTGACGCTGAGGGTCAAATCAAAAGGTCTGATTACGATGTGAACTTCTGTCGATTTTAATTATGAGGCAGCTGACAGATTGGAGGATTGTGATTGGCTATTATTTTGATTGGTCATGTAGATTGGCCAATTGGAGGACGGCTAGAAACAGACCTCCTTTATTGTTTTACTCTTTACCCGCAGGATACCTTAAGGACCTTTTCTGGGCGACATCTCATCAGACCACCTATCGCATGAAAATAACGCAGCACACGAATGACCCAAGGTAGTAACTTCATCAATCATGAAAAGTCTCTTCTCTAACGTCACCCAACATATTCAGTTGAACTGTGGTGAATACGAAATAAAAATAGCTTTTTTATCAACTGTTTTAAAATACGCTAGCCTATGCGAAAATTTATTTTGACCAATAGTAAAAGGGATTGGCTCCGGGCTGAAGAAAACAACAAGGCAATGTTTAGCGAGCCTATGTAAAAATTTATTTTGACAAATGGAAAAAGGAGCAGCATACAAACTGAGGAAAAAGTAACTTCTTTTTTTTTAAAAAAAAGTTGCTTTCAGTATATTTTGTGAGTGTTAAGTTTTCCAAGCACCCTTTCCTTATTATGTGTTCCCATTTTCTTTCTAGCTTCGTCTTCTCACTGCAGCATCAGATCTATGTAACCTCAAGTTTCATCAACTGTAAGCATCCACTGCCAAATCGGAGGATAAATATTTTACAGCAGTTCAACTCTATTTCTAATGATATTTTTCTGTTTCCAGCAGGGTTCTGATTGTAGTTTACATAGCCTGCCCCTATTGTTGACCAGCTGCCTTCTGCACCAGCCGGTTTCTGAATGTAGTTCGCATAGCCTGTCCCTAATATTGACCTGCTGCTTTATCTACCAGCCGGTTTCTGATAGTATCTCGCATATCCTGTCCCAATTGCTGACTGGCTGCCTTCTGTACCAGCCAGTTTCTGATTGCACCTCGCGTAGCCTGTCCCTATTTTTGACCAGCTGGCTTCTGTACCAGCCGGTTTCTAATTGCAGCCCGCATAGCCTGTCCCTATTTTTGACCAGCTGGCTTCTGTACCAGCCGGTTTCTAATTGCAGCCCGCATAGCCTGTCCCTATTTTTGACCAGCTGGCTTCTGTACCAGCCGGTTTCTAATTGCAGCCCGCATAGCCTGTCCCTATTGTTGACCTGCTGCCTTCTGCACCAGCCGGCTTCTGATTGTAGCTTGCATAGCCTGTCCCTATTTTTGACCAGATGCCGTCTGTACCAGCCGCTTTCTGATTGTAGCTCGTATAGCCTGTCCTTATTGTTGACCAGCTTTCTTCTGTACCTACCGGTTTCTGATTTTAGTTTGCACAGCCACTTCCTATTGCTGACCGACTGCCTTCTGTACCAGCCGATTGGTGATTGCGTCTCGCATAGTCTGTAACTATTGTTGACCAGCTGCCTTCTCTACCAAGCGGTTTCTGATCGGATCTCTCATAGCCTGTACCTATTGTTGACCTACTGCCTTCTGTACCAGCCGCTTTCTGATTGCATCTCGCAAAGCCTGTCCCTATTGTTTACCTACTTCTTTCTTACAGAAGATAGCTCTTTTTTTCTCGCTTTCCTTTTTCAGCTTGTCTAACGTTTCTTGCAATTTTTAATGGTACTTATAAAATCTAAGTAAAAGTAAGCGTATGTTTTATAATTTTACTACTGATAAGCACTATAAGGCCTTGAAATTCGTGATACAACTGATTATCTAGTCAGAAATCTTTTAATCATTTAGCCCCAAGTAAGGCAACAATGCCACTAAGACGCAAGGGATTACTGAGTATAAAAGAATATAAGAAAAAGGAAGACATTATTAACGAGATAAAACAATAAAAGAACAGAAATTAAGTAGACAGAAAATAATGATTGACATTTCATTCAAAGTTTTGAAGATCAAACTTGACTGGAAAGCAAGAAGCCGGATAGGAATTCCACAAGCGAAAAGTGCAATAGCCATTTGAACCTTAAAATGATAAGATCTTGCCGCCAATTTAATACTACGCTTAAATTCCTAGCGTCTATGTACCATAGAGTAGAATTTATCAGAATAATTACCATGAAAATATTTATAGAATAGGTACAGTACAGCGGTAGGAAAGTGACTAAAGCCGAGATGACAGGTCAAGACCAAAGATATTGCAAATTCTTCTTTGGATCTTATCAAAGATCTCTAAATATATAGCAAGAGCAATAGACTATATGTGGCAGCAATTTTCAAAGCATGGTTGAATTTTAAACTTAAATATGTAAGAGAGATTCTGATGTGAAAAAATGTCTAGTACAACAGAGTGAGCCAACTTTCTTAGCAGCAGACCTAGCAATTGATTTAATATAATCTTTCCACTTCATGTCAACGGAAAACATTTTAATGTAATTCACTACTAAATGGATACAGTTATTATGTCTTGGTTTTTGGAATATATCAGGGGAATAAAATCGTATATATTTTTTACAATGTTTTTCTTTTCAAAACTTAATATATTGATTATCTCTTTTAATGGATAAGCGTGAGACATGGGAACTAGGAGGAAAGACCTGTTAGCAACTATACAAGGCTGCCTATACTTGTGAGGGGTTGTAAATACTATGATCTCGAGTGAGGGTGAAAGATAAGAATAATAATTGTTCAAATTCCTCGTTTATAATTTTGCAGCTTTTGAATATTTAAATGGAATTATTTTTGTCTTCCTTTGTTTAGGTCAACAAAAGATTAAAATTTTGGACATTAATGATAACAATCCAAAGTTTTTAAATGAATTTATAAAACTTTCACTGTCTGAAAATCTCCCAGTGAATACCACGTTAACCCGAGTCAGTGCCACAGACGCTGACAAGAATGACAATGTAACTTACAGTTTTCAAAGGAACTATATACAGTTTAAAATCAACGAAACAACGGGTAAGCTACGTATTTTTTTATCATTTGTTCTTCTTAAATAAAAAACAAACTGATATTTAACAATTTCACTGCTGCATTGTTTCCGGACCGTGCTGGTCCGTTTTTGGAAAAATAGTAAAACCCCTTTCCACGTCTTTCGCGACCACCACATTTACGGCGAATAGAGCTCATGAACTTATGCTGATTTTGTTCTTCAAATAATTCTGCTTCCGAATATGAATCCGCAGAAATTTCGTCTATTTTCCCAGAATTTAGACGCTGACGTCGAATTCTCGAGGGCGCTATCATTTTACTTTGGATTTGTTAACCTGTAAAACAGACTAAAAACTAAGCGATACCCGAAACAAACAATATAGTAAAAAAAACCTGAGAAAACAGATCGCATTTTTTGATATTATATGTCTATGATGGTTTGGAAATAGTGTTTATAAGACAGATGCTATGGACTAATAAAACGGGTCGTAATTTATACTAGTATATATAAATAAATGGTGGTACTCACTTGGAAAAACCTTGGGTATGTTGGCTTGTAGTAGAACAAACTAGTACCCAAGGAAAAATGAGGAATAAAAAAAAAAAAGAAGAACATGAAATTGAGGCGAAAACAATCGTCCGGAGTTCAAGCTCAGTCCAAAGAAAAAAAAAACTTCAAAACGAGTAAAAGCAACTACGTAAAGTGCTCAATACACGAAGTAGAGAAAACCTAATATAAACCTAAAGAGCCAGGCAAACCTACTTAGGTTTCACCTAAACGGATCTTCAGGGAAATACTGGCATTTCCCTGACGATTCGTTTAGGTGAAACGTAGGTAGATTTGCCTGGCTCTTTAGGTTTATATATATATATATATATATATATATTGTGTATTTAGGCAGCAATCTTTCGTTCATACAAGCTTCATTAAATATGAAAACAATGTGCTTTGATTAAGTTTTTTATATAATTTCTCATATGATCTTATATTATTTTCTTTCCAGTAGATAAATTATATAAAAACTGTTCAAATGTTTTATTTTTCCAAGCGCTTTCGCCTACACGTTTAACCATTTTCAAAATTTTGATTGGCAACAAGTCTACCGCAGAAAAAACGGCAACCTACTGCGGGAAAATCTTTTGGTCAGTCAGTCATCAATCGAAAGAAACATAATCGCCCAAGTCTGTATCACGCACGGCAGTTAACTGACTAATTAAATTCCCACACTACCGAAAACATAAATTTCGAAATATCGGAAATTTCCTCAAAGTTCATGCTGATTTTTAAGGGAAATTAAAACACAAAACAAAATTATGCCATTAAATAATTATTCTTATTAAATATTAACCATTTTGTTGCACAACATTTCTCCATTTTTCCTTCAACATAGATTCCATCTTCCCACAATTTAGGTGATTTCTCGGTAAATAACCCACTAAGGTGTTTTTTTTTTTTTTTTTTTTTTAATGACATCCAAAAAATTAAAATTTTTACCATTGAAATTATTTTGCAAAGACCTGAATAAATGAAAATCCGAAGGAGAAATATCTGGTGAATATGATTGGTGTGGTAACACATCCCCCAGTCAAGATGAAACAATTTTTGCCAGGAAGCCAAAGAAACGCGAGGTTTGGCATTGAGCTGATGAAAAACAACATCTTTTCTGTTCATCAATGATGAACGCTTTTTTTCTTTTCTTTTTTTTTTTTTTTTTTATTTTTGAATTGCTGACTTTAATTCATTTAGTTGTGAGCAGTACTCAAAATCAATTGATTGGTTACTTGGTAAAAGTACAGGATTCCTTTCAAATCTCGCCAGATGCACAGCATAAATTTCTTAGGATGAAGACCGGCTTTTGAGGTGGATAAAGTTGGCTCATGTCTCTTACCCCAGGATCTTTTCATTGAAATTTATTGTAAACGACTCATTTCTCATCACCTGTCACAATTTGCTTCAAAAAGGTGCATTTTCATTGCTTTTATAAAGCAAATCACAGATAGAAATGCGATCCAAAAGATTCTTTTCATTTAGATCATGTGCTACCCAAACATCATGGCTATTTGAGTACCGAAGCTTCACTAAGTGCTCGTGGATGATGGATTTTGATAAATATTTAAAAAAGGAGAATAAACTGTCCGTGATAGAAACCCAATGTTTTGTATGCTTCTTCCACTTAATTGTTCACATATGAACACGCAGCCACACCTAAAATATAGACCAACACGCACCCTTTGCATTCCATAAAAGATTGTGGAATGTGCCCGACACAGATCGATTATTAGTATGCTAATCGGTTAGACCCATGGTTCCCAAACTTTTTTTTTATTTAGACTGCGTTTTCAGGATGAAAATATGCTCGCGCCTCACAAAATTTTATGTGATAAAAAGTACATTTAAGAATAATAATAAAGAACAGAGAGAGGTTTTAAAGGGAGATAATCGCGAAGTCAGAACATTATCATTGATAACTCTCTCCTCCAATTTGCAGACCCTAGTTACTATATTCTTAATACTTGATATAATGCAAAAATATCACAATCAATTGGTCAATAATTATTTATAACCATTTAGACTGGGACTTATGCTTGCAATTAAAAGTAATCCTTAATAATATTTATAAAAATTTGAAATCATATTTAGTTTTGGTATATGAATTTTTTGAAACTGTTTCTAAATCTTTCATTGTCTTTCAATCATTCTGCCTCACCTGCTATCCTATTCCGACGCACCTATGAGGCCTGGCGTACCATTTGAGAACCACTGGCCTAGTCGATTAAAACAGTGGTTCGTGAATTTGGACACACGACGATGATTTGCATGCACCTGATAAAGGTCGTAGAGCACAACAGATGAAACGTTGTGATAACAACAACGAAGATGAGGACAATAGTTCGCATGCAAATGATGACAACTCCTCATCCCAGAAATTTACATCGACTGCAGTTTACCTAACAGATTACAGTTCAGAAGTTTTCAAGATTAGGCCGATAATAATCCTTGGTAGAAAAGTTATATATACAAATAAGCAGAATAATATTAGAAATAAAATATTTAGTAGGACTAGCATAAGAATAAATACGTGATGTTGGCCGCTAATAAAGAAGAAAAAAGGTGATATTAGGTCTTGAAAAGTAGCTCTAAGAACACTGGAAAGTTAGTAGTCTGAAAGAAAGAATCGATGTATATGATAGGCTATAAGGGCCTCCTTAGTAGGCTTAGCATAGAAATAAATGCAATATGATTGTCGCTAATAAAGAAAAAAAAAAACGACAAATGACAGCAAGTACTCAGCAGCAAACAAAAGAGAAAAGTTTCTGTGAATGCAGTCAACCACTGTGTTAGACCATTGCTATAACAGTAAATTTGATCTTGTTGCGAACTTAGGGTAAATCTAGAATAATGCGTAATATCGGACAATTTTGTTTTGGTAGAACATGGCTATAAAAGTAAATTTGATCGTCTTAGGAATTGAGGGTATATCTACATAGGGTGTGTTTAGACAATTTTGTTTTGATAGACCATTGCTATATCACAGCACTAAATTCGATCCTGTTTTGTTTCTCTATTCAGTGTTATTTTGTCGAACTGAGAAAACTTTCTTTCTTATGTTGATTTGTTTGTTTTATAGGAGAGATCAAACTTGTGAAAAACTTGGATCGTGAGACAAACGCGAATATAAGTTTGTTTGTTTTAGCAAAAGACACCAAACCGAAACGCCGAACATCGACAGCAACCATCTCATTGAATATCTTAGATTACAACGACAATAGCCCAATATTTGTTGGATCGTATAACAAAACGTATAACGTAAGCGAGGGTGCTTCAGATGGTACTGAAATTCTCACAGTCACGGCCACAGATGCTGACACGGGAATTAATGCTGACATTCGTTTTTCGCTTTTTTACGAAGATAATGACCAAATATTGCCCATAAGTATAAATAATACGACGGTAAGTAAGACTTTCTTATTGTTATAGACAAAACCTATAATTTATTCAGTATATTTTAAAAATTCTTATATTTACCACGGGAGCTTATTATGTTGTTGCGGATGTGTGATGATTGTGTGTTGGAGAGGAATAGAAGGTTTAAATTATCAGAAGGTTTAAAATTGTGTGTGTTCAATAATCTTCCATCTACAACAATTAAATACAAGACATAGAATAATGATTCATAAACATCTTGTTTCAAAACGTAACAATTGAATTTATTAGTGTTTGGTGTACAAGCATAAGATCTGAAGGTATGATAGAGTTGTGTCTCTTAGACTAGGTAATATTTGTATCTAAGTTCACAAAGTGAAAGTAATTATTAAACTGTAGTTTAGAAGAATAGTTTCTTTAGCATGTTTGGAATTGTGTATTGTACAAGTTGGTAAACGTCCAGAAGAGATTTCAAAGTTCGTACTTGCGTGAATGTTGATAATGGTCTTTAACGTCTGACTGCATTAGTTAAGACGGGAGTTCTTGAAGATTACATCTTGGCAGCAAGGAATGAGACGCGAGAGAGATGAATGCAAAGAAGCACGAGGGAGCTTACACGTGTTCTGTTTTTATAATTTTGTTGTACCACGTGGGAGGCTCCGGACGAAAACGCGGGAAAAAAGATTTGTCGCTTGCAGGCGGTTTGATCGGTCGGAACTGACTAATCAGCAAGCTAGATTGAAGGTGATTAACCAATGAATGCTTCTTATATATTTTGTAAGATGGCGATGGTGATGGTGATGGTGAAAATTACAACAGGAATAGTGCATTTCCTAGCAGGGGTTAACTGGCTTGTTGTGGAAGATTCCACAATGTCAACTAGAAACCTCAAAATCACTTAACCACGGAACCCTACGATTTTATCCCGTCTTCTAATCTTATTGCCTTTTTTGGTGACTGCCTTCAAGTTGTCTGAGATCCTGAGCTGAAATACTTTCAATATTCCACACACTGTGCTACATGACATAGTGTAGACTCGTCCATTTACCCTATCACCGCTAGCAACAAGAACATTCTATTCGATACGCCTACACACATAAACTTTATCCAATAGAAACATTACCAGGCGAATCAGCAATTCTCATTGGCTCACAACACGAAATTCGAAAGCTTCACGTGCGGAAATAAAATTGCGCCAAAACCTATCTGAACCAACTCGGACATCTAAAACCTATAAAAAGAAAAATATTAACCGACCAAGTCAGTCAGTCGAACGAACGAACACAGAGATATGCTAATTATAATCCACGTCGCTTGCAACTATAACTTTGCCGCGCAAATCAACACGCAAACTAACGCGCAACTAAATTATCACTGACTCACCCGCAAGCTCAAATCGAAGAAACACTCTGTGAACGCACGAAACTTTTATCTGAATTACTTTACTTATCAAAAGTGAATTTACATTCACTATTATCTTAAGTAAGTAACATCACTGAACGATTTTGACAATATTGCAGTCCAAGGTAGACTACTTCGTAATGACGCATTTCTAAAAGACAATTAACTACATTCCAAATATTCATTACAATTTCCTAAAAGACTGTAACATTAATGCACAAGACATAAAAGGACATACATAAAACTACATAATTCACGAACACACCAACACATTAACAACCTTAAAAATACTCTGTATATATTTTCGTATTTGTATATAAATGATTTTATTGGTGTTCAATTGGATGTATGTTTGTCTTGTTTATATTGAAATTGTTTATTTGTTTGTGGATGCAGAAAAGTTCACGCAACCTCACATAAAATTTCCTTCTGATTCATCTTAATACTAACCCGAGTTCAGTAGTTTATTCTGCACATCCCCAACAATAGCAAGCTCCCGTGTTACGGTATGTGACTGAGTTTGAAATCACTTCTTTATTCTGAATCCTTGCAATTGAATGTAAAAGTCGAAGAACCAGTCAGTCTTTCTCTTCTTCTATCAGCTGCGTCACCCCAAAACGTGGGCAATCATGGCTCTCCACAACTTCTTGTCCCTTATAACTCTTAGTAAGGTTTGTCGTTTTTCTATCTCTCCTAAACCCTGTTCTGTCAACCTTTTATACAAGCTCAAGTATGTTATTCACCACTTTCCTCCGTCTAGTGAGTGTCAAATTCTCTAAGCCCTCTTTCTTCATTATCTACCCTAGAAATTTCAATTGTCACTTTTTGATTTTGAGTGTCTTTATTGATTCCATTTTCCTTAAAATTTCGTCCTTGCTCGGTCCATAATATTCTCAGCATCCTTCTGTAGAAGTACATTTCTGTTGTTTCAAGTCTCTTCTTCATCTGTGAGGAGTCTGTCCAGCATTCATTGCCATATTGGCGGACTGACATTACATAACAGTTCAGGACTATTTTCTTGGTTTCTAACAAGATTTGACTGTTTCTTAATACTTTGAAATAGTGAAATAAACCTTCCAATGTTTTTGAAGGATCAATTATAATTTTCTGTAAAAGATTAGTGGACGAGGAACAAGATAGCATTAAAAGAAGACTATGAAAATAAAAAAAAGAAACATAACAATTGGTTGAAAACATTATTTATTACTATATGTTCGCCTAATACAAGGCCTAAGAGCCACTAGAGGTAGATGTTAGAAAATGAGGTTGTATGGATGTAAGAGGAGGAAGTAAGTGCTGATTATGAGGATGTGTAGAATATATAACAGTTGACCCTACACTTGAAGAAGTTAATATTTTAGTGGTCAGAGAAGCAACCTTTTAGGAGTCTGTTCTACAAAGTAGCATTACTCAGGAAGCTGTATGAGTGGACATTCCTTCTTACCACTGAAATAAGAAGGGAATGGGGATGATTCAACCCTGTGTATGTGGCATGGTGGTTATTAGATGTATAGGTTTGAACTGATGGATCTAAGGAATTTAGCTCGTTTGAACTTTCACCATGAAAATAGCAATAAGTTTGCAACATTAGGTTTGTGGGGAAAGTGAGCATTGAAGATTGTCCGCAAATCCAGATATAGCAGAAATACGCCATTTTTGTTCTGATCTGACATAATAAAAACAGGTATAATGAAATGCACTTTGACAAAAACATAGAAATGACGTATACATGCGAAACGTAGAAATGATGTATGAATGTGAAATGTAGAAATGACAGATGCATGTGAAACGTAGAAATAACGTATGCATGCAAAATGTAGAAATGACATGTAGACGAAATGTTGCAATGACTTGTGCATGCGAAGCGTAGAAATGACTTATGCATGCGAAATGTAGAAATGACATATGTAGCCGAAATGTAGAAATGACATATGTAGGTGAAATGTAGCAATGACATATGCATATGAAACAGAAATTAACAAAATCTCTTCTCGCCGGACTTATTCTATCTATACAGCGAGGCGATTCTGAGTGAAGTAGATTATTGGTGGTCACAATCTGAACAACATAAAATATGCAGATGACACAGTGTTGATAGCAGACACAGAAATAAAACTGCAAAGATTCCTACAGAAGGTAGTGAAGGAAAGCGAGAGGAAAGATTAAACATCAACTGCAAGAAGACAGAATGTATAGTTGTTAGCAAAAGGATGAGCCCAAAGTGTGAATTGAAAATTGGGGATAAAAGAATTAAACAAGTGCGGAAATTTAAATATCTGGAAAGAGGACAGAAAATGTAACACTGAAATCCAAAGGTGCATTGGAATAGCCAAAGATGCCTTCCAAAAGCTAAGCAGAGTACTAATAGAAAAACTTTGTGAGAAACAAGGAAAAGTGTACTAAACTGCTATGTGATGTCTCTCCTCTTGTATGGAGTGAATGCTGGACAATCTACTCAAAGAGGAAGAAGAGACTTAAAACAATGGAAATGTGGTTCTACAGAAGGATGCTGAGGATACCATGGACTGAACATGTGTGCAACAATGAAGTTTTAGAGAAAATGGACACGAAAAGAAAACTTATACATAACATCAAAAAGAGACAATTAAGGTTTCTGAGGCACATAATGAGGAAACAGGGCTTGGAAAATTTGATACACACAGGACAGATTGAAGGCAAGTGGGCAAAGGAAAACAATACACAGCATACTTAGTGAACTTAAGTAAATGGATGACAGAAAAGGGTTTAGGAGAAATAACAGAAACACAAAATTTATTAAGAGCTACGAGGGACAGGAATTTGTGGAGAGCCATGACCGTCTGCTTCTTGAAGGAACATGACACATAAGGAGAGACTAGATTGGCATCCATGTCTTGCCATGTTTCTATTGAACTAGCTAGATTTAACTGTAAGTCCTATTCTAATAGTTTTTCTTGCACTTCTCACCTGTGGAAATAATTTCTGACTCTCTTGCTTCCCTGCCACCTACAATCTTCAAAAATTTAAATTTAACACCATTCGCCATCTTCTGTCTTTCGGAATCTTATTTCTTTTATTGTCCTTTCTCCTGACTAAAGTCTTCTCATTTTCTTTCACTCCCAGTAATCCCTTGCGTCTTAGTGACATTATCACCTTACTTCTAGTGAAATGATTAAAAAATTCAAATGACATCAAAACATTCATAGACTTAGGGCAATGACAACAAGAAAAATCATTTCTCATCGACAAATTATTGTTTATTTCCTATCCACACTGTTTACTCATTGCTGTAGATTGACAGCTTGTATAAAAGTTGTGATAGAACGCAATTAAAAATATGAAGATGAAAGTGAATGCATGTCCAAAAATTATTATTATTAATAATAATATTTAAGCTTGATTTATGTTATAAGTTGCTCCTAGCTGTTACAAAATTGTGTCTTGTTTAGGCTAATCACTATGATGTCATTAGAAATTCTTCTTGACAGATTCCAACAGATTTCCATTGACACACTTTGTGTTCTTTATTTAAGGTGTCTTGCCTAGTTCATTTGTGTTACCAGGGGTGTCTTATTTACTTCACAGTAGTTTAGGAATTATAACAAATATTTTAATCCAGTTATTTAATTTATATTTTTAAATTATTCATTTTACAGGGAAAAGTGTTTGTATCTGGTAAACTTAACCGAGAAGAGACACCTTTGTACAAAATTGAGATTAAAGCTAAAGACATGGCCGGAATTTACAGTGAGAATGCACGCACTGGAAGCACTTGGATTAAAATTAATGTAACTGACATCAATGACTGTGCTCCAAAATTCGTAATACCTAGTTATTATGCAAACGTGCAAGAAAATACACCACCTGATCAGTCTGTCATTCAAGTGCAGGCAACAGACCAAGATGTTGGAGAGAACAGTCGGTTGTCATTCAAATTGGAAGGAGATGGAGCAACTTTTTTCAAAATTGATAATTCAAAAGGAATTATTTCTGTGAATTCAAGTCTTACAGATAAAGTGGGTGTGAAAAGATTTTTGGTGGTGGCCACTGATCATGGAATGCCATCAAAAAATAACACTGCAAATGTCACCATTAATATAACAGATATAAATAACCACCGGCCTGAATTTGCCGATAATAAAAAATATATTGACATTTCTGAGGTAAGTATCATTGTCAAGAAATTGACCAATTCAAGATCATTCAAGCCAATGAATTTATCAAAGATTATACGGAATCTCAATTTTCGCTAGGTTGAGCCATTTCTCCCTTTAGGGCTTAATACCGGGAATCTCCACTGAGAAAATTGCAGCAAAAATCATACTATCATTTTACTTATAGGTACAGTATTTCAAAGCATATAAAGCACGTTTTTTTATAATAGACTCACAGAATCAATATTATTCCATATTATAAAATGAAATTGGTATTACCGGTACTAGATTAACACTTAAAGACACCTAATTACACTGTTGACTCCAGAAAGAAATATATATTATAAATGATTCAATTACGATTACAACTCAACATAATGGTAAAATATTACAACTTCCTGTTTGACACACTAGTCCCCTGATGACCCCAGAATGAAATATATATGATTATAAATGATTCAGTTATGATTAAAGCTCAAAATAATGTTAAAATCATAAAACCTTCTGTTTAATACACTAGTCCCCTAATGACCCCAGAATTAAATATATATGATTATAAATGATTCAATTATGATTAGAACTGAAAATAATGCTGAAATATTAAACCTCTCTGTTTGATACACAATTCCCCTGATGACCCTAGAATATAATATATATGATAATAAATGATTCAGTTATTGTTACAACACATTATTAAAATATTAAAACCTCCTGTTTGATACACTCATTCTCTGATTTATCACCAGAGAAGAAAACAAAACAGATGCCTATTTCAACTGAAATGTTTTTACAAAACATGTTTGATGTATGTAGAAAGTCGGTATGTGGCATTTGAGGTGAACATCTTAAAATATTAGTTTGGTTGGTTTAACATTGAAATGGGATATACATATAGTAGTACTAGACATCCCTTTCTCTCACAAGATAATGGTAGGGTCCTGTTTGGTGGTAATTCCAGTCCTATCGGACCAGTGCCTGGAATATCTTTGCAGTCTGATCCTTGCATGTCACATTATTCTATTGGTGTGGCAGATGAAGCTGGAATGTAGAACAACGAATAATAAAATTGAAGTTGGGATGTTTAAAGCATATGCTACAGGTTCAGATTTTATGAAATGTTTATGCCATAAGATAGGATAAAATTAATAAAGGTCTGGTTATGTAAAACGTACACCTTTCTTTAACATGTCTGAGTCCAAATGTCTACACATTCGAACAAAGTAATGTCTTACTGGTCAGCTGGAAATGAATGTTCCCTATTATGGACTGTCACTAGATGTAAAGGTGAAAAAAAAGAACTGTTTCCTTTTGAAAGCACAAATTTTTGTCAATCAGCTCTGCTACTATATATATATCCTCTACAGCCAAGCATGTTTGTCCTACTACTGTTTTGGTATAAACTTACTATAACCTTTTTCGTGCTTCTAGTCTGTAAGTCAGTATACATATTTTCCAAGAATGTACACATTTTCTATTTTCAAATGATTATCAAGATTTGAATGACATCAATTCAGATGTTAGTTATTCCTTTCACTGTAATGACACATTTTCTATAGAGTGCAGACAGAAACAGGTTCTTTGTTAAACTGAACAAAATAATCTGCTTGTGGCGTCTCTCTTAAGCTGTTTAAGTTTTCTAAGTCTTTTAAAGCATCTTTGGCAATTTTGAAAAATATATTCCTTGAAAACCATTAATATTTTGTATTTTTTCAACATTATTGCTTTTTCTCAAATTAGAGAGCATTACATATTTGATACACTCTAGAGATATATCCATTTTTAGGAGAGGCAAAATTATTAACTCAGAGGAATTGTGCTGAGATGATGTACTTATTTAAATCATGTTGTAACAGTGTATTGATTTGAGCTGTGGCAATGTACTGATTTGAGCTGTGCTGTGGCGAAGTCCTGATTTGAACAATACTGTGATAATGTATTGCTTTGAGCCATGCTGTGGTGATGTATTGCTTTGAGCCATACTGTGACTGTGGGCCTATTTGAGCCATGCAATGGCAGTGTGCCTATATGAGTGTGTGCTTATATGATCCATACTGTGATGGTGTGTCAATCTACATCATACTGTGGAAGTTTTCCTATTTAGATCATTCTATGATGTAGCTAATTGGTTATTTAAAACTCTAAGGTCAAATGCTATCAAGTTATCATTTATCAAACATTAAATTTATTCAAAGACTATTTCAAATTATTTCAGGAAGCAATTAGATATGAAGTTTTTTTTTTTTTTTTTTTCTAGGCTGTGTGCCCTGGTTCGTTTATTTTTAATGTATCAGCCACTGACAAGGACTTTTATCCACCAAATAATCAGGTGATATATGAATTGAAAAATGAAAGACATTATGAACCGGATTTGAAAAAAGAAAAAAATTACAAATATTTTAAGCTTGATGCAAACACTGGTCGTTTGACACTTGCTAGAGAACTGGACAGAGAAAAACATAAAATTCATGAGGTGAGTACTAATCTAGTACTGTGCTTAAATTTTGGAAGTTGAGGTATCAAAGGGGAAAGATCACCAGAACATTCATGATGAAAGGCACAGAAAAGCTACGTTACTGCAGCAGGGAAGTGACTGATGTCGAGATGCTGAGTTAGGATAAGATAATGTTGCAGTTTCTTTTTGGGAAATATCACAGATGCACCAGACCAGATGTAGTAGAAATATTTGGCACACAGAGAAATGATAGACTTATAAAACTGCTAGATAGATAAATATACATCCAAAGTCTAACCAACCACAAGTCCATCACAATGTGATATCCATCATTATAATTTTGATCACATATCTCTATCCCATGTTTTATACTTTTGACAAGTCACACTTGCCTGTATAGCTGCAGTAGCACTGAATGCCTACTGCTCTGATTAATGTCTTTCGGCATAATTTGGTTAATGGTTAATTTCGGCATAATTTGGTAATTTCGGCATAATTTGGTTAATGTCCCGAGCATCTACCAACATTTGTACATTTCCTTCCAAGATACTAATAGGCTGAGTCATAATTTCTAATTTTTATTTATCAGCTTTATTCATAAAAAATAAAGTACAATTAAATTTTATTCAGTTATATAATCCCCATTATTTGCAATGTCTTGTTACCCTGGCAAGTGAAAGGGTATTGTGACCCCCATCCTATATCTATGGTACGGGCCCTCCCCACTCTAGTAAATCTCAATTTTGATACAGTAGTATTCATATAAAATAGAAATTTTATTGTAATCTAATTATATACAATAATGGATCATATTCAATATAGGTGAACAATTCAACTAGAAAAAGTGAAAATTAATACAATGTATCTAAATACAAATTAGAGACATGTCATAATAGATTATTCCATCTTAAATAAATCAACAATGTTTTGCGGCAATTTTTGACAACAACTTGAGACGTTTTTGTTAACAGTTGAAGAATTTTAACACATTCAACTTCAAAAAAAGCATTTCTCGAAACTTAGCAGGAGCAAAACAAATTTGTGGACATCCAGAATTACATCAAAATCCGTGAAAATTTGTAACGTATATAAATATATGTAGAAATAAAGCAAGTGTTGAAAGGATAGAAGGGGTCACAAAGCACTGCCCGGGTCCCCCAATCAGGCTTGCTCCCCAACTCAGATGGGGTAGCTCAGTGTTAGTATGCACTGGCCTTGCTTGTTTGCTATCATCAATTCCGAGTTCCATTTTGTTATATTCTCTTATGTACATATACCCTTAGGAAAGGTATGAATCTACCTCTTACCCTCCCTCAGCTATTGGTTAATTAGTAGAACTTGTATCAGTAAAAAGCATTATTATCTCCAAAAATTATTACCATCTAAAAATATTTTTGGCTTTAAATAAACTCCTCTCTGGGGTTATCTTTTTATATATCTGCTCGTAACATAGGTGAAGATGGGTCGATTATGTTGGTCTGTACCCGGCAGCTGGGAGGACATTTCAAGTCAACCCTACACCTGGTTTCTTTGAGGATCTACTGTGCCATTAAGTGCGTCTCAAGTGAACTGGGTACATACTATACAAGGTTTAGTTTCAGCAAGCCCACATTGCTATCAAATGTGACACAAGGTCAAGGTTTTAAGGGGGTTTAACAGCAATACTGTGGGGGAAAATATTGCCCAAGCCCCTTTGGTACTTTCCCTTTTGGGGACGCCTCAGGCAATAAACTCAGCCCCACTCCCGCTGTAGAGGTACTACTTGAGGGGAAGGACCACTGTGGCTTGGGCTTAATATATTTGCATATATTATCCAAGGATATGAGAGGTATATTAGCAATGATGGGATTCAGTTGTTGATAATGACAACACTGTCAAGGAGATATCATTGGAATTCTGAACAACCCTGAAATATGTCCATAATTCAAGAGTTCTATCTAGAATTATGATAGGCTTATGGTCACATCAGATTGAAGCATCAATTACCATGTGAACACCGAAGTTAAGCAATGTCGAGCCTGGTCAGTATCTAGATGGTTGAACGCTTGGGAATACCAGATGCTGTAAGTTTGGATATGCTGGTGATGACTTGGAATTGTTAATCAGTGAGCCGAGTTCCAATTCCATTTGCGTTCGTTATATTCGTTAAATGAGTAAATACCCTTGGGAAAGGTATGGATCCACCTATTCTCCCCCAGCTATGGGTTAATTGGTAAGACTTGTATCACTAAACCATTATTATCTAAAAAAAATCCTACAAACTAAAAATATTTTCTGGCTTTAAATAACCTGAAAAGGGTTGATAAGCCATAAAAAAACGAATCAAACAATAGAATTACAATATATGGAACCTGTAATAGGACAGGTATGATTTAGTAATTGTTTGTAATAGGACAGGTAGGATTTGACAATTGTTTGACATTCCTATAATGCTTACCTGTCATGTCATTCAAAATGTTTCTTCAGAAAATCTTGCTTTTTCCACCAGCTTACAATTACTGCCACAGACAAAGGCAGCCCGCCTTTGGAGTCCAATCCTCTCCGATTAATAATCAATGTCACAAATGTAGATGATGAGCCACCAGTCTTTCGCAGACAGGACTATAAGGACTTAAAGAAAACCTTTTCCGTCCTGGAAGGGAAACCACCACTTTTTGTTGGCGAAATAAAGGCCTACAATAGTTATCCGGATTCAAAACCCTGCTTCAAATTCGGTAAGTGATCCTTTTCTGTTTATTATCTGATTTTTCTCAAATATCTAAGCGTGATCGCCACAAAAGCGACACCAGTTTTCAAATAATCAAACCAGAGATTTTTACATTCAGCTCAAAAAACTTACACAAAAATGTCACCGATTCTTGCCTAAAGCCAAAGACAACTTCACAACCAATCTATTTCGTCAAAGACCTACTCATTTACCTACAGTATATTTAGCACATGGATTATTAGAGCAGCCAGAAGAAAGCTACTTCTTAAACCAATTGTAATTTTAGTAACATCTGATTCGAGCCTAAATTTCCCATATATAAAATAATTGTGGACTTCGTCAAATTAATGTTGTCGAAATTGAGGGCATGTGTTTTCAGATCTTTCTTCGAACGTTCGATCTTCTTGATATAAGGAATTTTGCCTTCATACCTCGTATTATAAGCGTTTATGTAGCATCCTATTATCTGGTGACCTTGTTTACGTATATTCTAAATTCAGCTGGTTCTATTTCATATTTATATTGCTGCATCGACTGACCTTCTCCGAAGCCCGATTTTGCACTTGGTGACATTAAGTCACCTCTTTTGTTAACTCTTGGTGTCCTAGGACTTTTGATATTAAGAGGTGACAACAAGTACAAAATTTATTTTAGTATCTTCTAGCGTGAACACAATATATATTGGGGTCAACGCTTCTTAGGTCAGTGTTCCTGATGAATATTAAATACGATTAAAATCTCTGGCAAATCCCCGATGTGAATCACATACTACGCAATCAACATTCAGCCGAGAAAACAATAAGCAATTAAGATGGGAATGCTTTTGGTGAACTGGAACAGTTGTTATCTCAATAAGCATGCACCTGGGAATTGCGTATACAAGTTTTGAACTTTCATGGCACACTATCAAACACAATTGGTTTTTTTTTTCAGTTATAGCATGAGATGCTGCTGGCACAGAAAACAGTGGCACAGAAAACAAAACTAGTGAACAGAGTTCAAACTTCAGCTGGAACTTCCCCGACAGGCTATAGTAGAGATGTTAGAGCCCTTTACCCTGGTAAAATAGTGCAAACTTGAGCATCACTTTAGCTCTGTAGGACCGTAAAAATAATTCACTTAGTACTGGAACCGCAGCAGCATTACTTAGTGTGCTTGCAAGGAGGCAGCTGGAAAAAAAACAGCAACAACGATGAGTAACAATGTGGTTCCATGCTTCAGGGATATTTGAGGAATATGGATTCGGAAAAAAATGCGCCAATATTCACTAGTGGTTATTTTCACAAAACCAGCATCATTTGTATGACAAATGGAGTTCCATACCGGATAGCAAAAATGCCCGAGAATGGAAGGATCTAGAAAGTAACTTTCAGGGTAAAATCAATTTTGTTATTGGCTTGAATCTTATTGAACATGTTTTGGTTATTCTGAATGGTAAAACAAATGCCCAGAAGAACATTAAAGGATTTCTTCCGTGTTTCCAGAGAGTCTGGTAGTAGAAATTAGAAGGGAACTTAGCACGTCTGATAAATTTGATGCTTGAAAGAGTAAAACCTTTAAAATTTAATAATAACAATTCCGAGGATCGAGGCAGATAGCATAATGGTTATGAGCACTGAAAATGAATTCAGCGTTCCGGTCGATTCAGTTTTACTCATTCCCTTTGCACTAATACCTCCCCACCCAAAAAAAGATATAAGTCTATCTCCCTCGAGCTATAGGTTAAATAGCATGCATTGAATTCAATGTTTTCCTTGTCCTAGAGTGGCAACAGCCACTTTAGGACAAGGAAAACATTGAATTCAAGACCAGCCTAAAGAGAGATGAGCTACGTCAGGTCATCTTGCCCAATAAACACTACTGAGGATTTAGCAGCAGTACATGTGGGTGTCCCTACGACACCTAATGACTTGTGACGTGATGAATGGCAACTGCAGCAAATTGGAACTTTCATAATAAGATATTGTTATTTGAAAATTGATGCACTTTTGCATATACGTCTCACTTCTAAGCTAATAGGTTGTCCCATATGAAATGGCGCATTTTTTGGCTGCTTGTTGATCCAATCTTTTAACGAAGCAACTTCTTCAGTATATAAAAAATCTTGACCCTTTTTCTTTCCGGATAATTTTTCTTTCAATATATTGTTACTCATAAACCCAATGTATATGATTACAACGAATCAACGTCGAGTAATTTTACTGCATGAGTAGAAACTAGGAAAAAAGAACCATTTTTTGTATCGAATCATTACATGCGATGAGAAATGGATACTCTTTGACAACAATAAGAGAGTAGGCAAGTGGATAGATGCAAGGGAATCGCCAAATCAATACCCCAAACAACCACTAACTCCTAAAATGTTAATGGTTACTGTATGGTGGTCTTTCAAAGGGGTTATTCATTATTCGTTCTTTCCTCAAGGAAAAACAATAACAGCAACCTCGTATTGTGGAGAAATTTAGCGTATGCACAAAAACTAAACAAGAAACATCCTAGAATCGTAAATAAGAATGGCCCAATTTTGTCGCACGGCCGTACGCTTCTTAAGTTTCCGAAAGCCTGAATTCTGAACTTTTTGCCTCGTCCTCCATATTCACCTGATATCTCTTCTACTGTTTACCATTTCTTTAAGCATTTTGAGCTTTCCATACGCAATAAAACATTCTCCAATAAGGAAGAGGTAACCGAAGAATTTGAACTATTTATCACATCAAAGGAAGAGAAATTTTTTAAAGATGGGATCGAGATTTTAGAGGTCATCAACATGGCGTTGACTAAATAACTTAGTTATTTAACATTTCAGAAATATTTTATTCATTCCCTATAAATTGCGTCATTTCATGTGTGACAACCTAATACTTGGGTAAGAAAATCTAACAATAGTATGTATGATCACGAAGAAAACTAGACAGGAATTTTCAGGAGTCTCAAGGTATTTCTTGGTATTTTGATCAAAAGAGATTCCGACACAGAAATTATTGGTATATCCCTGGCGTATTATTTAGTCCCTGTCAAGGGGAACACTACCTGTAACAGCTTTTGTTACTACTACTTGCCTGGTCACGAAAATATGTGAGTGTGGTTTTGCCAAAATTCCCATTCTCCGACATTCTGTCAATTATCGTGGTATGCTAGTGACAAAACATTTTGCTAAGATATTACAAGATAGGCTACAGTCAATTTGTTCTTTTTTCTAAGAGTGTCAATGTGAAGTGAACATACAAAGCTACAAACGAACATAGAACTTTGTTCGCTAATTACAAATTCTGTGCACACCAACCCCAGTAGAATTACCAAAATAAATTCTGTTTGGATAGAATCAATAATAACGAAAGACAAAAACGTTGACTCATTTGTCTATAACTTTGAGAAGAATCTTTAACACATCCATATCTATCGTTCGAGCAATTTGAATACTTACTGTTTTTAGAATAATGTTTCGGTCAATTCATTCTTCAGCCTGCACCAGATGTATTTCGATAGTCTGGTTGTTACATTTATGACCATTTTTTGGTCAAACATTTTTCTTGAATAAAGAGGTTTCATGGGATATGCCTGGCCATAACTGAAGAGCAGGTCGACCGAACAATATTTTAACAACAACAACAACAACAATATCCAAAAAAGAGGTTGAATTTTCCGAAGAATATCCCAACACGCAAGCAACCAATCTGCCACTGGCGTTTACCGCTGGTGGCACACTGTTGTACCGACGGCGTGTTCCTCTCGGCAATGTTACCACTGGCGGACCGCTAGAGGCCCACCGGTGGCTGGCACTAGAGGACCGCTGACATTGCTAGCGGTTTGCGTGTAGGGATTGTGTATAATTTCTATTTGAATTTCTGGGATGATGAGTTATCATTACTTACACTATTTATTTTCTGACTATTGTCCTCATCTTTGTTGTCCAAAATTTCGGCCGTTGCGCCCTCTGGCCTTCATCAGGTGTATATTGATCTCGGTAACCAACAGGGAATTCTGAACAGAACCCTTTATTTAATCTACAGGGGTAGACTGTTCTCATTCCACTACCCATGTGTAGGGATATCGTCTAGTTCTTATTTTTGTTATAACCAGTTAGTCAGGTACTTGGACAGTGGGAATGGGCGAGTTAAATAAAGGGTTCAGTTCAAAATTCCCTATAGGTTCCCAGATAAATAAACAACTGAGGAAGGTCGGAGGGCACAACAGTCGAAACACCGTGATAACAACTGCCCGAATATAAAGAGTGTAAATAATATTGTGTATCTGTACGGATTTATCTATTTTCAGTTCAAAAGGCTAATGAACAGTATTTTGAAGTTAAATCTGTCAATGGTTATGGAAAAATCACAGCGCTCAAGGAACTTGATTACGAAACAAAGAAGATATATAATTTCATGCTGGAAACCTTCGATTGCAATAATAATGTCTACAATATCTGTGGTAATTCTATAACACCTACTGATAACAAACTTAGCATCATTGTAAATGTAACAGATGTCAATGATCATCCTCCAAGATTCATCAACAAATCAATGCATATGGCGATCCAGCCAGACTTAAAGCTGAAAACTGTTATTGCAAACCTCACAGTAAGAACTTTCTTTGTTTTCATTTGCTTTTATATCTATCACTATACAGGATGCGTTGGGTAAATTGTCGCCCTTTTTTTTATAATTTAGCGCATGCGCGTTGTTTTTTATTTTGTCGACTGTGCAGTATAATAGGGTCAGTTGAGCACCGTCTGTGAGGAAAAAAAAAAAAAAAGAAGCACCATGACGCAATTCACTTCACCAGAAATTTGAAAACGGTATGCTTTACTGCTTGATATTCGCGCCGGAAGCTCCAATACGAACATTTCAGTGTGTTTTGGTGTCAATCTGAGGACAGTGCAGAGAATTCGGAAAGTGTTGCATGGTGATTTCGAAGGTACGGCAGCTCGGAAGTCTCACTCTGATCATTCTGATAAGAAAAGAACTCTCGAATTTGTTAGTGAGAGCCTCAGACTCAACACGGGGGCCTAAATCAAGTGCCTTGAGTGGGTAGTGTTGCCCTGGGTGAAGAGTATGGCTGCTGGAAGACCCTATGTCTGGCAATAGGACTCTGTACCATGCCATACAAGCAGGAGAATACAGTCATGGTTGTCAGATAATTTCTGCAACCACATCACGCCTAACTCCATAGATTGTAGTCTCCTTGTTATTATTATATGTGGAGCGTAGTTGAGCGAAAGACCAATAAAAATTCCTTATAACACCACAGATGAACTGAAGGTAAGGAATATGGCAGCATTCACTAACTTAAAAAAAGGAGACCATCCAGAATAGTTGCAATCGATTCCAAAGTTGTTTGGAGGCCGTTATTGAAGCCAATGGTGATTGTATTGAATAAATTTACTCTTTAGTATCTCAAGATATTTTTTTTTGTAATTTTGGTAAATATATCTGCCAAAATGAGATGTCAGTGTTATTTTCATTTTTGCGTCATTTAGACGACAATTTATCCATCGCACCCTGTTTATCTGTTAAAATGAGATGTCAGTGTTATTTAATTTTTCATCATTTAGACGACAATTTATCCATCGCACCCTGTTTATCTGTCAAAATGAGATGTCAGTGTTATTTTCATTTTTTGCGTCGTTTAGACGACATTTTATCCATCGCACCCTGTACATCTCAAAGTGTGATAGTGCCTTTCAAGTAACAGTGTTGGCGCGTGCAGATTTGTTTTTATTTACTCGAGTTCACTCAATACTAGACTCAGTAGTCACACAAGGTAAAGCGTTACTGAAAGAGTTGTGTATATGAATGTAAGTGGAGGTTGTAGGAACTGAACATTATGAAGACAAAGAGGATAGGTGATGATTGACTCTTTTGAAGAAGTTAAATTGTACAGTTCTGGGAAGCATCCACATAGGAATCCATTCCACAAAGTAGCAGTTCTTGAAATAAAAAAAAAGAAAAAAAAAGGTGGTTAGAATAGAACTTCCTCCTTACAAATGGAATACGGAGGAAATGTGAATAATTCAAATTCCGTGGACGTAGCATGGCGATCTGAACTGGTGAAATTAAGGAGTGAAGCTCATTTGAAAATTTGTCATGGAAAATAACGGTAGAGTATCGATAAGCTTGAAATATTGTAGGAAAGAGACTATAGATTGGCAAATGTCATCATCCCCTGGAAAACCACATAAACGATTTTGAACTTTTACACATTTGTAAACCCACTCACTCGACATGCCTTCCCTGATCGAGCAACAAAGGGGATTATTTACAGTGAATGGCTAATCCAAGTTCGAATGCGAGCAATGGCTTATTCACGTTTCGCGGCCCAACATGTTTAAAGTTTCTTTCTCCAAGACTGTCTGCCAACCAATGCTTCACGTTCTTTCCGTCGAGAGATCTAGTAATTGTCTACTTTACCACTCTGCAAAGAGATATTTAAGGGACAACATGGAAGCATCTTCTTTTATATACCGAACCTTTTCAGGACTTAGGTTAGCATGGCTCTCCACAGTTTCCTGTCTTTTCCAATTCTAAGTATTGTTTACCCTACACTATCACTGTTTGTTGTGGCATTCATTCACACGAGCCTGTTAAGTAGTTTGCACGCTGTTTCACCCTGCCACTCTTGCTTTCAATATGTCCTGGGAGTGTTAAATTCTCTATGCCCTCTTTTTTTCATGTGCCCCCAAAATTGCAATTGTGTCCTTTAAATTAGATGTTTCCTTATAGTCCTTCATTTCCTTAAAACTTCCTCGTTGATCAACTCCTGTCTATGATTCATTTAACGTTCGTCGGACCGACAACAGAATTCAATACTACAAACACTTTAATTCAATACTACAAACACTTTAATTCAATACTACAAACACTTTAATTCAATACTACAAACACTTTAACCATTAATTAAGTGAGGACTTTGCTCGTATAATGATATATTTACACACGCGTCCACGTCGCAAACGAAATGAGACACAAGGTCAAGGAAATTTAGTATGATTTTATTATTTTTATTATAAAATTTTTTCAAGCCCCCTCAGCACTTCTTATTTTTGGGGACGCCTCAGACGCCGCGTAATGACCCCAGCACCCCCCCCCACAGAAGAACAGGCACTGCCTGGGGCATGGCTGACTGCCAACTGATTTGGAACAGCCTTTTTAGTCTATCATTCTGACTCGGGAATTTGCTTTCTCATGCATTGACTGACAGAGACCTACTATCATTGTGGTAACGATAACAAGAATGAGAACAATAGTCTGCATGGGATAATGCAAATAATGATAGTTCCTTGTAATATAACAACAACTCTAAGTAGAAGCTTATTCTTATAGAATGCGAAGGCCAGGACCAGCATTGCCAAGTGATTGGCCGTAGTGGTCCATGGGCATGTGATTCTGACAGTAATAGATTGCTTTTGTTTGGGTTTTGGATAGAAGTCTTAAACGGCTTGAATTCAACGAAGAGCCGCAAGAATTCTAAATCGTCGATATACTTCCCACACCCAGGTTGAAATACCGGCTAAGACCAACCGGGGAAGGACGCCGACTCAACATGCGATATGCATTCCCATGACATCAATCCAAGCTGCCATAACTCTCTCCTAATAAAAAGAATAATAAAAAGAAATGGTCCTTTTCGTTGATAAAATTTTTTGTAGTAGTATGGGGATTCAGGGAACGCAAAAGATTCTGGAACTTTATTTGAAACATTCTACTTTAATGATGAAAAACGGTTATTTTATTGTGATGGATGGTTACAAACGAGGGGTAGGGAGATGGGATTTACTTACCACATTCCTCCTCCCAGAAATTAACGTTGTCTACGATGACGCTTATCTCGAATCATGGCTTTTGCAGAAGTTAAAATGTGATAATCACCATGATCATTATGGTGTTTGCTGTGTGGTCGGATTGGTGTGTAGGGTATTTCCTGTCAAGATTATGTCATCTCGATACGAAATAAAATAAAAACATTTTTGTATGAAAAAAAGTCGATGTCGATGCTGATTTTATTCCTGTTACTGTAGCATTGTGACTTTTGTTATATCGATTTTATAATAATTTTGTTTTGGTTCTGATACAGCCTTGCTCCCTTTTCTATCACCCCTTTTTACCTTAACGCCCCGTTGGATCTTCCCAACGCCCACGTGCGAGGGGATGGTGACATTCCATTTGTGAATAACTAACTTAGAACTTTTTTTAAGTCTTAGACGTGTTTCATCTAAAACTTGCAATAGGATTTTCTGTCATTTCATAGAGAATTTTCTCTTTGAATTGTTATTCATCTTTAAACTTATTATTAATCTATTTTATCCTAAAAAGTCAATTTTGTTGAAGAAGTTAAATCATCTCGAATACAATTAATATAAGAGTGAGTTCGATCTTAGTGGGCGTCCGAGACTCTGATAGTGGCAGAGAGTTCTAGGAATGGGTGGGGTCGTTTAGTGCCTACGACGAAATCCGCTTATTGTGGGAAATTGATAACGTTTTGGTTTAGATTTTTGTACAATATGTCGGAACTCGTTGCCTTGAGATGCCTCAAAATTCGTTCGATTGGTAAATGTGAAGAATATTTCAAATGTCACTTAATAGATTAATTTTATTTTTTTTAATTTATTTTTATGGTGTCCCTAGGCGAGCACGGGCTCTTGTCCCTTATTGATTCGTTTTGTCGATAGACCTGTTGGATATCTCGTGTGTCTGATTAGTCTTAGATAAGGAAATACAGATAACGAATTTACTGTTTTAAAATCATGATTTCATTTTTTTTTTCAGTCCTTGATTACCGATGGCGATGACTATATAGAGAATAAAAAGAATTTATTTAAAATTTTAAAATTTACGCCATATGGGGACGTTTCTGTTCAAAAGAAGCCATTTGTTGTTGAGAAGAATCTTTTGAAGACCAACCAGTTATTCAGCGCAGCAAAAATCGGCTACGTCACTCTTTTGATATCAACCTTTGATGAAAAAGGGAAAAGTGATACTGCAGAATTGAAGGTATTATCATTTTGTTATATTTATTCATTAACTGGCAATATCGCTTTTCAGCTACAGATGCTTGTGACATTTTATATAATTATAAAATATAAGTCTACAATTTGTCATTGCTTTCAATATTGCTGCCTCATCTGGTTTCTGCCTCCTGCTATATATTTAGAGATTCTTGATAAACTACAAAAAGAATCTGCAATGTTATTAGCCCTGGCTTTACGGTTGAAATGGCTAGATGTAACCGTAAGTTCTCTGCTAACCACCTGCCATCTGACTCTTACGGGCTCATTAAGACATCAGCCAATTCTTCCTGTTAAAAAAGAGATAATCGTATTCTGTTTTCGAGCATATAATAATTTTAAATTGTCTGATTTTCTTAGATGAAGCAATTTTAGGATTCATTTGTGACGAGTTTCTTTCATTTTATTATTGTTGCTTTTTATATCAACATTCAGGTCGCTCTACGATCGTTCAGTGTTATGTGATAGATAAGTAACTAACTGCTTCTAGTTATTTCCCCTGTCTTTACGACTTTCTCTGTTCACTTTGATTAATGATTTAATTCCTGTATACTAGCCAGTGAATAAAGTCGTGTTACTTTTCTGAATAGAGTCTGTTCGTTATCTTCTCGGAACCCAAGACGAAACAACAGCATATATTGTAAAATGCGAAACGGCTGCAGCGTCTAAAAAGCAACAATAATAAAATGCAAGATAAACTCGTTCAAAAAATAAAAATGCTCCATCAAGATTACAATGATACACTGATCCTCAACAGGAGTGTTTAGCCATGATCCATTGAAGGAGTAGAAAATTATTTATATCTGACTCCAAATAAGTTAAATCCCAACAAAAAATAACCTTGGTAAAATTAAAGCAAAATGTTTAAATTTAAAATTAAATTTTAACAATGACGAAGAATATGCACAGATGAAAGAAAAGACAAGGCATGTGTCCGGATAAACGAAAAGACAAGGCATGTGCCCGGATAAACGAAAAGACAAATATCTGCCCGGTTAAAAGAAAACAACAAAGTTGTGATTTCAAATAAAGTAGCAAAAATTATTTTAACAAATAATCCAAAATCTTTAAATATGAAGTTAAATGGATACTTTGAGCAGAAAAAAGTTAGAGACGGTCGCTGGAGAAGTCATACGAGCACTGTGTGTGTGGTGTGTGTGTGTGAGGAGGGTAGGTTGCAACATTAAACATTTGACTTCGTGACTCATGTGTTCGGTAAGAATCTGTACGTATGTGTGCATGTGTAACGACATTGAAGAGACGAACAAGCACGACTGATTAAACTGATGGACAATATTGTTTATAAAGTGATTTGTCGGCTCAAAGAAGCTGCTTTTTTGGGAGAAGTATAATGAATTTCGATTGGTCAATAAATCTCGAAAGGCATTTCTTTTCCAACTATAGCAACTTACCTGGCTAATATCGACTGAAACCTTTGAATTAGAAGTTTTTTCTTGAAAATCTGTTTTCTAATTATCTCGAAATTAATTTTTACATTAGAATTTATGTTGAGCCACATTCGACGGATTTGCTTCAAATTTACAGTAGAATCCCTGACAACCGGATTAAGACGGCTTTCCGGATATAAGGAATTGATTACAAAGTCCGGATATGAGGAGTTATATTTAGATTAAAATAAAAGAGTTGAAATCAGGTTTACCATTTATTTTCAATGTTTTATAGTAAACAATGAGAGTAATGAATAGCAGCTCGAATTAAGGAATCGAAGAGCCGAATTTGAATTCCAGTCTATTACGTGCTAATACCCTTGGGAAAGGTATGAATTCTCTTCTTCTACCCCCAGCAGGGCAGACCGGATTCTATAGCCTTGGATGAAAATTCATTAAATTAAGTATGCAGAATAAATAATATAACGAGGATTTTTTTAATCGCTGTTGCATGATGATTCTTTCTCTTCTAATATCATTTACAACTTTTTCGTATTTCGTTTTTCTTTTGTTCTTGAATTTTTAAACGAAAGACACTTTTTAACTCTGTATGCGTTATTGCAATCGTCATAGTTGAATGCTGGCTTTCTTTCCATAAAACTGACAAACTTTTCAATAGCTTTTTCACTTTCAGTCCAGGTTTCATCACAATCATGCATCCCATCGCTATCTTGTTGGAGATGTGTCTCGTTGTCATCCTTTCCTCTTATTTCCATCATCTTTTGCACCAATTCAAGCCTTTAGGGTGAAAAAAAACATAAGCAAATTTCCTGAAAAAATTTCCTGTAAAAAATAGAAATTTCAAATCAGTTACATATCACCCAAATATTTCAAATATACACATCAAAATCATGTCCGCATATGCGGGGTTCCGGACTGAGCATTCCGGATATGAGGAATTCTGGATATGAGGGATTCTACTGTATTACAATCTACTATGCGTGCTATACATTGATGTATATATTTTGTATAAAGTACATATGCAATACATAATAATAAGATAATAAACTCATAAAAGTCATATTTTTCTTGCAGGTTTATATCATTGCTAACGGAAATAAAATAAAAATAACTTTTATGCAGACCGTTGAACAAACAGAGAAAAACAAGGAAACATTTAGTCGGTAAGATTCACAACTGGAATATATTTATATTGTATACATTCAGATTAATATCTTCACCTTTGTTGTTACTATCACAACGTTTCGACCGTTGTAACCTCCGGCCTTCTTCAGATCTCTGTCGATTTGGATAACCTTTTAATGAACCCATTACTTAATCTACAGAGATACATCGTTCTCGTTTCATTGTATATTTCTTGGTATATATCGTCTAGTTTTTATTTAGTAATACACTGAGTCCAAGTACACATTCACTGCCTATCCCATGGATTGTAACGATTGGTGAGTAATTATGAGTTCTGTCCCTTTCTGGGAAGTGTATATTTGAACTAGACAACATACCCCAAGTCATTAATTTATTAGCTGCGTACAGAGCTATGGGGCCCAGTCCATTGTGCTTGATGGAGGTTGACCCTTACAAGAAGGTTCATCCACCTTTTAAAAGTGTTGCTTGTCATCCTGCTTGGTGTCTAGTCATCCTCCACACCAAAAAAAAAAAAAAAAGCTCTTTTTCGGAACTGATTTACTTATCAATGACATGATCATATGGCAATGAATTACTAGGTTA